TGAACGTATTGTTGATTTCGTCATATTCTTTCTCATCAATTCTTCAGTAATATTATTCACAGGTTTCACACTGAGAATCTTATTGTTTGAGTTTTTGGTATTATTGTTTAATATAACAGTACTGTTTTCCAGTTCTTCGATTTTATTGAATGTGGAAGAGATTTTCAGAATTGAGTCCATATTAGAGGTAGCATTGACAATAATTGTAACGGATTTATTGACTATATTATTGCTATCCATATTGTTTATATGATTTGGAAACGAAGAAATCAATCTGTTATTGTCCGCTAATTCGATATCACTGCTTTCGTCAACAATTGCACCTAAATTTATTTGAAATTCGCCATGTAACATAAAGAAATTGCATAATTTGATAAAATATAAATTAAAAAGGCTCTTATGACTCACTAATAGTTAGATCAAAATTGCGGCGTATTTTAATTTGCTTAAGAAATTTTGCTGATGAATGTAAATGATAGAGTAAATAATGAAGGAAAAGAAAAAAGATGCTATAGATAATAAATAATTAATAAAATAAAAGAAAAATGATAAAAAAAGTATTAGGTAATAAAAAAGATGCTATAGATAATAAATAAATAAATAAATAAAACAGAAACGACTAACTGAAATCATAGTCTTTTTATCTTTTAATAATTTAATAATAATAACTTTTTATCTCTTAATAATTTAATAAAAATAATAATTTTTTATCTTTTAATAATTTAATAATAATAACTTTTTATCTTTTAATAATTTAATAATAATAACTTTTTATCTTTTAATAATTTAATAATAATAATAACTTTTTATCTTTTAATAATTTAATAATAATAATAACTTTTTATCTTTTAATAATAATAATAATTTTTTATCCTTTAATAATCAAAAAAGAAAAAAAAAAAATGAACCATCTAATGATTATTGCTTTAATTTAGAGATGATGGAATATTTTTTAGTAGTACGATGAGTAAATATTGGTGTAAACTTTATAATCTCCAAATGATTATTTAAAGAATTTTTGATGTTAATTATCCATACAGTTCATTAATTGCTGTGCTCATCGATTTTGTTACTTCAAGAAGAAACACCAATCTTTCTATTTTATTTCTTCTTCCATTAATATAAAAATAAATATAAATTTCCAGCGCTTTAAACTTTGTAACTTAACATATTAACAATGATAACTTTGTGACAAGATTTGTTCTGTCACTTAAAATTAAATTTTGCAGTAAAACAATTATTAGACGCTTTTTAAACTCTGACTCACTCTGTCGAAAAAATTAGTTCTGAGTTTAAATTAGTTTATTAGTTCTAATTAGTTCTGAAATTTTTTATCTCTTTCAATCGAGAATTTCGGAGAAAACCAAATTATAGTAACATGTGGAAATGGTATTAATTTAAAATTAAAGATTATCTCAACTAAATATTCCTTAAACAAATATAAAACTATTTCAAATTCTATCTCATATAAACAATCACTCATGCAGCACTCATTTCTGATAGATAGTTGAGTTTATCATAAATATCATAAAGATTCTACTGTAAGTCAGTGCCCACTATGTAAGCATTTAAATACTTTATTTGAGTTAGTTTTTAGTATCAGTGAGTTACAGCTGCTCTGTCCCACTTATTTAATTCGATTCATTTAAATTCTTTACTTAAATTCCTCATCAATTCTTTGTCTCACAATCTTTAAGTTATACTAAATTATTAGTATTGTTACTATAGATTAATAATTGTGAATCGTTGATTACAAATTCATTCCAACAGAATTCTTCTCGACACATTCATCTATACAAACTCCAAACTAAAACCAAGAAATCCCTAATCAAAATACAATTTCTCGACATCTCTTTATTTACCCAAAATTAAAAAAAAAAGAAGAAGGAAATAAGCGTACTGAGCAAGAATTTATTTCTTAAAACAATGAAATCGCAATAAATTGTAATTTCAAAACGATGTAAAATGTTAATGAAAAAAGGTAGATCATTGATTTGTAGATGATTTTATTTTAATTTGTTAGAATATATTGTTTTAAAAACAATTTCTTTATTTAAACAAGATTTTAACATACGAAATTTGTCAGAGATAAGTTATTGATAACACAATTGTGGTTTTGATAAGTAAGAGAAGTTGGTCGATGTTTCAAAATGGCAGCAGTGTTAGGTGAAAAAGCATTTCAATTATGTAAAATATAATGATAAAGAGGAAATGATTTTATAAAAAATAAAATTTTGAGTGAAAAATATGAAATTTACAATTACTTTAATTAAAAGAGATGAAAGCGTTGAAAACGAATTTGATGGATTTACTTTGAAGTAAGTAAATGTTTCATTTTCAGGATGAAAGTAATTGAAATTTTTTTGCTCAATTCTTTGAGATTCTTTAGAAAATTTAAAAACGGTAAGAAAGATAGTATTGTGTATTTTTTATATTTTATATTTGCTTAACTAAAAATGATAAATCGGATGTAAGCAAAGGATTTATTCATGGAAAATCTTTGGCTAAAATAATTTTATCACTGTTATCAATATCCGAATTGAACTATCGAAAAGTAACTAACTTTTTTGTCTTCTGCTTATTAAATCAATTTTTATCAAAACGAAATTGTTTCAGCAAGAATTGAACTATTGAAGTTCTATTGGTTATTACAATTTAATGAAATAAAATTGTAAATTTTTTTTTAAAAAAAAAAAAAAAAAAACAAACCTTCCACATAAGTAATAATTGTAAACAGCACTAGTAACAGAAAAATAAATTTTGTCGTCATTGATCTGATATTGATTTAAGTTGACTAATCGTTATTCATCAATTAATAAATTGACCTGATATATTTGTTGAACACTTCGTTGTAATGACAATAATGCGAGAATAAAGCTAAAGTAAATCAATAACTTCGAGATTCTGAAAAAGTTTTCTAAATAAATTTAATAACGAAATAAGATGACAAATTACTGTGCATAGAGGTAGAAACAAAATGAATACAAAACAAAAAGAGAGATGCAGTAAATTTGAAATGTATTAAATTGGATAAAAGTAGGAATCACTGACAGATCAAAATTAAATTAATAACAATAAAAACTATTTATGAAATGTTAACAATTTTTTGTTTGTTTATCTTTCTCATTTGTAAATATCACATTACTACTAATTCTGTAAAACGAAATAAAAGTGAGCCAAGAAAAGTATCTTTAACTTTACTCATATACAAAATCATGAAAAAGAATTGGACATGTCACACATTAATGATTAATATGATTAGATGGCATCGGTTCAATGAATACATATCAAAGTTTCATCTTTTTTCTTTCTTTTAAATTCGGTTACTTTCCGAAAATAAAGATGTGATATGCATTATCACAAATAATGTATCCAACACCAATGACGGAAATATCATTTGTCCAGTATTTCGTACCTAACAATAATCTATCGTCCACCCAAATTCAACCTGTTATTTCGGTGATTTCACCAAATTCGGCGAACACATTATCAGTACAATCCACAATCATTATTTATCATTCCCTTTCACAAATTCAAACAATCCTTTCGATTTCTGACTGAAGAAAGGATTGATATAAAATTGAAATGATAAAATTTGAGATATCAAAGCCATTTCAAATGAGCAATGTTACGAAACGACAATTGTATGAAATGTCATAGGATTTTCTACTCTTCATCTTGTTAATGATCATGTGATCATAGAATTAGTGTTCCATTTCCTAAAATATCAATTTTGTGAAGATAAATTTTTGGGAATAATGTTTGACTTTTGATAAAAAAAAAAAAAAAAAAAAACTTTCGTCCAACATTTCTAATCCTTTTATATCAGATTCTCTAACAAATTAATAATAATTCTATTTTCTATACTGACTAGCAATATGAACAAGTTGATTGATTGATCTTATGCATTTCATATTTCCTGGAAGAATAATTCCTCAAATTATATCGTTCCCTTAAATTTAAGAAGCGTATTGATCTTCTCTCAAATATTAAAATTTTATTATTTTCGGCATTTAAGCAGTCAATTGTTTTAATTACGTGTGGAACTGAAGAAATAGCATTAAATCCATTAATGTGTAATTAGTTATCCAGTTAGAGAGAATAAAGAATTAAAAAAAAAAAAACAAAATAGTATGGAAGAATAAAACTAATAAATGGGTGGGTGACAGTAATTCAATATTTTGTAGGGTCACTCGTTGGTGTTAAAAAAATACTATTTCTGAGATCTTTTTTTTTTTCAGAAAATCTGCAAATTAGTTTTTATTTTCACTTCGTTTCAGTTCTTTTAAGTTGTATAGTTATTTTTCATTTTAACAGTAGCAGTAAAAAAACAAGTTTCTGTTTTTGTGATATCTCACAATAATTCCAAATAAAATTGTTTAAATAAAAGAGACTACAGAATAAAATAGGATCGTTTCGTCATAACGAATTTATATCAGCTTGATGGTCTTTCACAATTATAACTACCACATACAATCCTTATAGTTAAATTTATTAAACATTAAGATTTCTTGAATCTTTTCAACATCTATCTTAACGACTTCAGTAACCCACTATTACGTTCTTCTTCTTGAAATTAGTAGTCATTTATCATATACATATTTAAAACTGTACGGGAGGTAATCCTTAAATAACTCTACTAGTGCATTACTTAACAAAAAGAGATATATTGAGTTGTTTTGACGAGTTAAGATGGTAAAAAAATAAGTGTAAGATAGATTCACAGTGAATTCATAACCAGCAAAGAAGCCAAAGTTTTGAATAATCAATCAAATGTTTAATATGATTTATTTCGAACCATCTCTGCCATAAAAATACATACGCTTAAACGGACACTGAGAAAAAGTACACTGAAAATATATATAAATAATCAAAAAAAAAAAAGAGAATGTTGAAAATGATTCATTTTTGCTGATGTATCACATTTGATTGCATATATGCAAATGTAATCTGCAAAATATAAGGAGGTGGCCAAGTAAACTGCAAGTAAAACATAAATTTCATTCTTTGCAAATATATTGACGAATCCATGGATGCTCCATAACGTCTTTCAAAGGAAGGCGTGCAGCGGCATTTTTTACCAATAACTGGAAGTATGTAAATATTAATGATTACAAGCGAGTTGTCAGAGTATCAGTATCAGTTAATTTTATTACATATGACTCCTATATTTCATTTATGTTGTCTAAATATTTGTTTCACACGCAAAAAACGAGCTGCAAAGACAAACTTTAGTGATCAAGTCCTTGGCTCCTTCAGAAACATGACTCGGAAACTTATATTTGACGTTGGCAATAAGTTTATAAGTTTCATCATGAGTTTTACTTTCAAACGGCGGTCTACCAACAAGTAGTTCATAGCAGAGAACACCCAGTGACCATAGATCGACCTGAAATTCAGAAATAATCCGTGCCCGATGAACCAACAGAGATAGATAATCAATTATGCTTCCAAAAAATGGAATATAAGTAGTGACGACGCGTAAAAGTAAATTAATGGACAAAGAATCTGAATATCTTCCAAACCGTAAAAAAGACCTTCCATTCAAGGTAGTAAATGTAAATGAGTAAATGATTCCAGATAATAAATGTTCAATTAGTAAATTTAGTTTATTTAGTAAATAAAAAAAATTCCAGGCATTTAAGGAAAATTTCTGTTTGATCATATCGCAAAAAAATGATACAATGCTAATTCTAAATATGTGAATTACCTTATCATCATGTTTCTCTCCTCGTACCATTTCGGGTGGCAAATAATCCAAAGTACCGCACATCGTTTCTCGCCTTAAACAAAAAAGACGTCAAAAAACTTGGAAGCTTCAAACTGAATACTGAATTTAATAAGTTTCAAAATAAATGAGCAAATTCTCTATGCCTACCTGGAAGATGGGGCATGAACACTCCACCCAAAGTCTGCAATCTTCAGTTCACCAAACATGCCCAAAAGTAGGTTCTCAGGCTTGATATCACGATGTATAACTTTTTTATCGTGACAGTAAGACAGTGCATCAGCCATTTGAAACATAAGCTGAACAAATGAATTTATAGTTGCGAAAATGCATAAACAGAGACGAAAAATGATGTAGCAGTTTCAAGAAATAGTTTCCAAAAATAAATATTCGATTATTAGATTTAACCGGCTCGCTCACCAGAAACGTAGATGTTCCAAGCAGACTCAAAAAAAACGTAGATGTCCCAATGTATTTCATCCCTTATATTAAAAATAGTTCTAATATCACAGTATTCGTTAATGCACAAATTTTTCATAGTGCATAAAACTGCTTATAAACAACTGTACTAAAATTAACTCAAATCTAAATATCATCAAAAAATACCTTGGCAGTACGTTCTTCGTCGAAATGGCCGCACTTCTGCAACTCCTTATAAAGCTCACCTCCAGCTGCATATTCTAGTATCAAGTAAATACGTTTTTCATCATAAAAATAATTGTACATACGTAGAATATGAGGATGTCGTAAATGAGCTTGAATTTCAATTTCACGACGTAATTGATGTTCCACGCTGTTCTTGATAAGTTGCGATTTGAACAGAATCTTTTAAAAAGGTTATTTAGAGTATGAATATATTTAGGGAATAAAGCTAAGAGAAAGTCAGAAGTTCTGCATTAAGCAAGTCTAGAAAACTTCGTCATATCTGACGATGTTGCTTAGCTATCCTGGAAAATCACTTAAAGTAAAAATTATATACTTTCAAAGCGACGATAAAATTGATGCCTTTGACGCGAGCCAGATAGACATTACCAAATTTGCCTTTTCCTAATGGTCTACCAATCTCGAAGTCACTCAATCGAAATTCTCGGCTGAAATAATTCCACGTAAATTTGACAGGTCTGGAGACTTTTGTAAAACATTATAGTAGTGGAACACATACAACTGCAGTCCATCAACACACAAACATAGTTTTATCAATGGAGAATTGAAAATCTCAAAATTTAAATAGACAAGAACATACTCATAAAATGGGCTTTTGGGAACTAGAAATTCCGATTCTTCCTTTCCAACTTCTAGGCAAGTGCTCTGTTTATTCAAAACAGTGTGTAAAATATTAGTTGATGAAAAATTTGCCATTCTGCATGTACTGAAACTATGCTGCATTTTATGGATTATATATTACATAGAATTAGATAGACCTCACTTTCAGATCACGTAAAAAAAAAAAAAAAAAAAACAAACATAAATGGCAAAAACCGAAAATCACGTAACGTGTAAAAGTAAACGTAAAGAATCACATAAAAAATGAGCAAATAAGGGAACGTATAGATAACTGAGTAGTTAAGAGATAAGATAAGATCAATCGATTGCTAACCACTAACAATTTTAGTCAAATGATTCAACATTTTTAATTAATAATTTTAGTTAAGTGACAAATGAATCAACACAACCATATATTTAAAATTTAAAAAAAAAAAAAACTTAAAGTTTAAGTAGGAAGAATTCAGAGGAAAATATGTTTGGTCATATTTCAAACATATGAATTTCGAAGTTTAGATAATAAATAATGTTGAACTTTTCATCTACTTAATCAAATCAATACCAACCTTATACCACCCATTCACAGGGAAATATTCTCAGCTTACTGCAAAACAGGAAGAAATTTATCCAAAAATTTAAATTCGGTGAAGAACCGCCATGCAATTCGACATCCCAAATTGTTATTAGTTTTGCGAAGCGAAAATCCGTCGAATTGGAAGGTTCTCATTCGATTATTTTGCATTTGAGTCATTTTTTAACGCATTAATTTGATGACAACAATGAATTTTTCTAAGTTAAATAACTCAAAATTTCTGCTACGACATCCTTAGCTCCTGGAATTTAGTTTTATAAGATTCTAAGGATGCACATTGTGACATGTTACTGTTTTCAGAAGTTTGAATTTGGATTGTTGATGAATTTTGAAATGAACACATACCATAAACGTTGTTTATTTCTAAAGTAGTTTTATTGGATTTTCCATAAGAATGTACAAATATAAACAAAAGTATAAAAATATGGATATTGGTCAAGAAAAAAAAAAATAACTGTACATGATAAAATGAAGACAATGAGCAGAAATATTTGAAAAGCAAGCAAAGATTACCACAATAAGAAATAAGCAAAGGTTTTACGATCACGGGGTTCCTGAATATTCCCAAACAAAAGAAAAAAAATGAAACTACTGAGAATGGACAAGGTATAAGTGTGGAGACAGTAACGCATATTTGCAATTCAAACGGGAAATAGCTTAAATTGAAAATGAAGCATAAAACTGTCCAGTTTATAGAAAATGAAATGAGAAAGTAATATGAATTAGGAGAACATATGAGGTCTACATTAAAAGAGAATGCCAAGAAAGCTAGCTTTTTGCTAAGAAAAAGATATCATAAAAAACCGCAGGAAACGGGTCACATAAATTCTAGAAGATGTAAGCAAAAAGGATGTATAAATCTTAAAAATGAAATTCAACGAACTTTCAGAATTTTTCGCCAAAGAAACCAATTCCTTTTTTTTTTTTTAGAATAACATCTTCATTAATATTTCATTCACTAACATTTTAAGCAAGTACCAGATGAATTATTATTTCGAATTAACATCGGGCAAGCTGTATACAGTTGGCGGCCAAGCAAGTGTTTCTTCATCATTTGCCATTGTCGCGTTCTCCTCAACTTTTTCATCATTCTCTAATTTTTCGTCAACCAGCTGCAAAACATAAAATTACCAAATAACGGAATATGCACCGGAAAGATCTGATAGCGGATTAAAAGAATGGCCTGATAACCAAAATCATAAGATACTTCAGAGAAGTATTACAGCATTTGGACTGCTATTACCAGAACATAACTACTTCTTATCATGACATTTAGAATAGGATCAAATAAAAGCTAGAACCCGTATTAAATTAGACTTTAAATTGAAGATAGAATACAATATAACTACAAAAATTTTCCAATCCTGCAACAAACGATCATACTACAAACGTCAATATACTTTCAGTACACTGTCAACAACAAAAGCATTATATAATACAGTGTAATGAAAGTGGAAAATGTGGAAAAAACATATCTTACCAACAAACGGTGATCCTTAGAAGCAAATCTAGCACGAACTTTTCTCAACGTTAGCAGTCCCTTCACCAACCTCCGCCAGTTTTTCATAGCTCGTTGTGTTCGCCTCTGAAAATCACATATTCACAAAATTCTGGATTCTTCTTAGTTCCAATTTCTTTTTTTTTAAGCCGAAAAGTTTAGACATAGCTTTAGACTTAACCAACCAATTTTGCGGCTAATTTCTTTTTTTCATATTGCTTCGACCAAGCTTCTCGAAGCTCATCTTCATGCTTCTTTAAAACTACGCATCCGTCGAGACTGAAACTACTAATTAGAAAAGTAACAACTAAAACCGGTTTCGCTGCATCTTTATCAAAATTCAGAAGAATCATTCAAATGTTTTAGTCAACCACTGGAAAGGATGTCACCACGGACACAGCTCTTCAGAATTTATATTCAGAGCAAATATCAAAAGCTGAATGATAAAAAATCTGAAAGTTACAGAATTTCAGATTCTTTTGTTACGAAGTTTCAAAAGAAAAGTGTTTGATAAAACAATATTTATCATGCAGATAATGAGAATAAAATTGTAAAATCTCTTCAGTTTTGGAAAATTAGGAGAAAAAATGTAACTGTTAGCAGCAAATTGTATTTCGTGTTTTAAATGAGTTTAATTTTTAAGTTTAACTGTCTAACAGTTTGTCTTGAAAAATTAAAGCCGCATGAAAAACAACTGACACAGGATGAGTACCCCCTCTACAGTGATTCCATCCTACAACCGCCGGAACACAGTCAATACCAAGTTGGCGAGCTATAGCTACCAATCCATTCAACTGCAGATGAACACAACCGTCTGGTACCATACTCCTCTTGTAAACGTATAAGTTGCCAAACTCATTGCGAGGCACACGACCCTGAAAATCGCAGAATGAAGATAACAGCTCATCTTCACAATTCAAACCTTTTAACTTTGACTATTTGACCGTTAAAAAAAAAAAAAAAAAAAAAAAAAAAACAAAAGCAAAGAAGGGTGCAAAAAAGACTGTGGCAAATGGTACATGATTCACAGCTCATATCAACGATTAGAAAAGTTGTAATAAAGTATCAAAAATCATCTTCTTCTTCTTTACCAATATGAATAGTTTCCATTAAGGAGCAATAAAAGGTTAAGATTTTTACATCAACAACTTTCGGAGTGATATATGGCATCGTTTGCCACCGGCCGTATAAATCAACAGTTTTCGGTCCACCATATTCTGATGAGACACTGCAGGACCTTTTTTGTACAACTCTGTATGGCTTTTCGTTAGGCTGAAACATAAAAATTTTATAATATAATAAATATTACAATGAAATATAATGTGAAAGAATGGAGTAAATTTTACAAAGAATTTCGCAAAATTGATTTACTTTAATAGATCGAAGCTGCTTCATCCAGTTTATTGTACCCTCAAGTTTATGAACTGAACTTCGCAAATAGATATTAAGATCCTTGATTTTACCTACAGGTTGCAGATTTTCTGGATATATTGCTTCATATTTGGACAAATCCTTCTCCAACACATATCTAAAAAAGAAATTTCGGAAAGTGAATCAATAATTTTTCATGATATTGTCTCAGCCAGTAATAGAGGAAAACAATGCATGTCATTGACATTTTCTACATTTTTTGTTATTCCATTACTGGATATAAAACTCACCAATATATTCAGAGAAACAAATGAATATACACAAAGAAACTATTCATGAAACTTTTATCTTATAACTTTCTCCAATTAAAGTTTTTTTTAGAAAAGTTCTTTTTCGATTATGGTAACAATTTCTTATCAGTTGGCAATTTAGGATAGCTTTCTGTTTAAATATTGAGATATTTAAAAGCACAGTATGCTGCGTGGCTCAGGATATCCATTTAGTTTCAATAAAATATAATAAGAATAGGATAGGAATACCCAAAGGCTTCATTAATTAAAAAATTTCTTTGCTTGTACTTTAATTGTAGAAAAAACTATATACTTACAACGGATGATTTTTATACTCCGATACTGACGTTGGTTTTGGTATGGAAAAGAGATATTCCTGGATCGCAACATCTTCGAGTCGCTCACGCATTAAATTTTTACTTTGATAAAGCTAAAAGCAGTGCTAGTTTCAAAAGAATGGAATTTAAATAGTTATAATATTATATGATGAATAATTTAAATCAAAAATAACCTCTAATGTATCATTCCACCAGTCTTGGTTTACCCACAATCGTCGAACAGTAGGTGTCAGATATTTGGAAGAATAACGTGCTGTTACATCACGCATTCCATATTCTGCAAAATAAAATTGAAATAAAAACTAAACCTATTCTAATTTTTCTTTTTTTAACAACCAGAATAAAGTGGAGCAGAACCAGATTTTAAGATTAGAAAAAAAAAAAAGACTGTAACTTTTAACTATTAACTATAGACCTCTTGTGTCGCACAATAATTAGTATTTTGTTTGTTTATTATATGATTTTTGTCTTTGCATTTATCAAACTACAGTGTAAATCACAGAAATTGAGAAAAAAAACTTGAAGTTATCTAATATGTAACTTAAGTGAATGAAAATAACTGAATTTCGTAACAGCTATAAAGGGAGTAATACTATTAGGAAATATGGTCAAACTGATCGAAAAAGAAAGAAAAACGACGAAATTTGCCGTTATCAATACAAAGAACGTAATGCACAGGTGAGGTAGCATTGGCTTCTATTGCTTCTGGCTTATTAGTCGAACCAGTCCATGGATCCAGACCTGAAATACGAAAAGAATAATTGATCTAAAGATGACCAAGTTATATTTAAATAAGTAAAGAACCAAAATGTAGTCAAAGATTTTCACTAAATTGTGCTGTCTAAATCAAAAGAATTAGAAAAAAAAAAGTATTACATATCCAGCGACGCGAATTCTCATCCCAAAATTCCACCCAATAATTTCTTTTCAGATTCAGTTTGTCAACCGACGTACTATCATTTCCATCTTGATTTTCGTTGCCAAAGAGTACAATTTTTTCTACCGTCTCTTCTAGTTTTTCCGGCCATTCCATATAATCATTAGCTGTAAGCTTTCTTGACCCATAATAATCGATGAGAGACTGAACCGCTTCTAAAGGCCGTCGCACTGTCTGAAAATTTCTTTTTTTGGACAATAATCTTACCATAACTATAAATTTTTTAAAAATACATTAAACATTCGCGGTTGAGTTTCTTTGTTTGTCCTTTTTTTAATTTGCATGCATGCGATAACTATAATAAGTACTGGAAAAAATACCAGTTTGAACGGCATTGGCTGACACGATAGACAAATGCGAGCTGTTTGTTTCAGAGCAATGAGATTCAAAAATAAGAGCTGAAAATAAGTTAATATCCACAAAATAAAGTGAAGTGTTAAGGAAAATGTGTCAAAGTGAATTAAAATGTGAAATAATGCTTCCTTCGCGTTTTATTGAATACTATATTATTCATCATTAAGCCAACGTAAATAACTGTGGTAATTCTAAGATAATACATGCATTAAAGCTCCGAATTTTGGACAAGCGCATCTACTAGATCAAAACTAATCGGGTTGTTAATCAGTTAATTGCTGAAAGATGTATTTATATCACTACCACAATGAATATAAAAGCTAAGAAAAAAAACAAAGAAAATCCTTGTACATCAACTTTTTAAGTTATATCTCCAAGAAATTATTGGAAGAAATACAAAATTAAGAAGATTATTAAATCACTTCCAAAAAAATCTTACAGATGCCAAATCTTTATCGGTCTCATAAAACTGTCCAGCAATTAATTCTTCCAACCGATGCAGCTGAAAAAAATGAAGCCTAATCTCAAACTAGCTTATCAGCTTCCTGAAGTGAACTAAAAAACTTTAAAGTTAATATCAAATATTAAGCATATAACATTGATTATGAATTGCTCTTAATATCCAATTTTTGGGAAGGGTTAGATAACGAAATTAATATTAAGCCTATGAAAACAAAACCTGAGCATTAGTGAAATCACCCTTAGCCACACAAACTTTTTCGGCTGATTGATATGTTGTTTTGAACCAATGAAGAAAATTTTCTGCTACTGTAATATTGAAATTAGGACAAGCTGCTGAGAAAAGTTGTTCAGGTATCACTGATAAACACAGTGACACCAAATGCTGTTCGCGCAATAATGTCTTTACCCATATACGCAAATGTGCAATATAACAAAGCAAGTGCATCTAAAAGGTATATAAATTATTTGAATGTTCTTGGCAAAGAGTGTAAGCAAATGAATGTATATTCGTGACGAAAGACACTGTGGTATTTTTTCTTTGTTAACTTATTTTTGTAGTCTTTCCAGTTGTAGTTATTATTATAATTATGGTTATTTTTTTGTTGTTTTTGTTTTTTTTTTTTTTTGTTTTTTATTTTTTTTGATTATGATTTTTTTTTTTTTAATTTTGATTATGATTTTTTAAGTATTTGCTATGATTTTAATTTTTATTATGTTTTTTGGGTGGTTTTGATTTTATTTATTTTATTAAGTTTAATTAGATTTAATTTGGGTTGTGATAGGTTTATACGTGGTTTGTAAAATATTAAATAGATTTTACTATATCTGATTACGGCTCAGCTAGAATAATATTTTTTTTTTTGGATTTAGTTTAATTATAAATATCACATGTATATCGTTTACCAGTCAATTTCTGCTCCTGTTTTCCTTATTTTATTATTTCAACTTTTTTTTTACTCAATGTATCGAAAAAAAAAAAACCTTGTGGCAATTGGTTAGCCGTTCACGAAGTTTTTGATTGACATGTTGCCTGATAAAGCGTGCTCTTCGAGCTTCCACCGTTTCGATCGCCTTTACTTTCACTTTTGGTTTTTTAATTGTTACTTCAATTGAATCAGTTAATGTTGCAGCAGTGTTACAGAAATCGAATTCATCAACATCTTCCCACTCATCATCCGAACAAGTAGAACTATTTCCATCGCATGATAAATTAGGCGTAGCATCTTTACATTTTTCTTTTTTATTTAGTTCCTTTTTTGGTGTGAAATCTGAAAATGTCAAAAATTCATCTACATAGTAAATGGCTGTAGCAGTGTGTTGATATGTTGCATTGCTTTATACAGCGTGCTCTTCGAGCTTCTACCGTTTCGATCGCTTTTACTTTCATTTTTGGCCGTCCTTAATTTTTATCATGACGTATACTGAATAAGCACACAATTAGTGATAAATGATGGTTAACCTCACTTCAAAATACCATTTTTTCCAGAACTGTGGAAACTCACCTTGTATCTTTCCAGTTCTACCCTTCTTCGGAAACCGCCGTTTTTGTTTTGCTTCTTTAACAGCACTTTTATTTTTCAACTTTTCATCCTGTTTACCACCTTTAACTTTTACTGTTTGCTTTACCACAACATTCTGTAACTGATCTTCAGAAGTGGAAATATTTCTTTTCCTTTTTCTCGTGTTCTTCCTGGGAGAAGAAATAGCAGTATTTCTCTCTATTATACCTAAAAAATAGTAGAATCTGATTAAAGTGAATTTATAAAGCACTAATTAGATTTCAAATGTTAAATTAAATCAAATCGTTACGGCTTAAGTAACAACCATGATAACACTTTGTTTTTTTTTTTCTAAGGTATTCATTATCCGTTTTTTGACGTGTTGTCGTATTCCTATTCTTAATTATCAATTTTATTTCAGTTCTACAGCTTCCTATTTTTCAACAGAAGATAAATGGCATAGGATAAAAATTCCTACTCAAGCATTTAGAAATAATCCTAATTAACTAGAATTCAATGAATTCAAAAGTAATTTAATTCAAACCAATTAATCTTTAACTAATAATAAACTAGTCCTTCTATCTTTGCATATATATGTTGCTATTTGTTACATAAATCAGTGAGTACATTGAAATAACTTACTGTAATTTGCCACAGAGCTACTCAAGAGATCCGTAGTAGTCCATGATTTATCATCGAGCTCCACCTTATTTTTCTCCTGAAGTCTACGACTTCGTCGTTGGACAACACTTGACATCTGCAGTAATTTCTTTCATAAAGAAGTATCATATACAAAAATTTATTCCATAAAACGTCACATACCTAAGAGACACTTGTGCAAATGATTGTTAATCTTAATAAACAAATAAAACACTCAATGCATTTTTAAAATTAAACGACAGATTTATGATCAGATGTACCATACCATACCCTTCATCGATATTAAATTCATTTAACGAAAAGTGAAGCCCATAAGTAAGAAAAGACGAATACTGTAAGTGACAGAATATGCCAACGAGAAACGAAACATGTTTAAAAAAATAGCCAATGGCTGTTGTAATTTGATGAGCTGCAATACATCCGATTTAGCCTAGGCTAATTGTTGAAGGACTGGGATCATTCTGCACCTGCACCTATTTCCATCTTATCCCAACTTTCTCTCTCCCTCTTCCCCTCTACTTCCCTCTCGTTTAGGTAACAAAAATAGATTCAAGAGTAATAAGTATATTACAAGTTACCCACAGTCAATATATAGCAGCGGGTAATTTGTAATATATTTGTTAAGTTATTCTGTAGTTGAAACCAACAAATTAGATGCAAAAATTATGGCTTACATCGAAAAGATGGGATAACGATTGAAACGCAGGACATGTCTTTATGAAAAAATTATAAATGTTTATAGTCTGAATTTCTTCGATTATTAAGCATGTTTTTCAGATATATTATAATCGAGCATATGATGCATCAGTACAAAAAGTTGTTAACTGCATCGTTTTCATTATTTAGTAGAGAGATAAATTCATTGGGTAGATGCTAGAGTAAGTATAAAAGATCAGTAGACTATAAATATTTGAATGAGTAAAGGAATATTATGATGAATTGGACATACGGCATAATCTGATAGATTGATTCATCTGATTTATTGATCATGGTTTCACTTCGATTATAATAAGGATAACGAAATGGGTTACAATTAAATCAAATTGCATCATATTGGCCCATATGATGCATATGATGCAAGTCTAACCCATAATTAGATAAAATAAGGACTAGGCTTTTATATTGCCCTGTTTAGCTTGTTCTTTCGCTTTTAACTAATTCTCTGTGTACTCAACTGTTTCAGTTCTTCTCGTTGTGATTTTGTTTGAGTAATACACTTTCTAACTTGTATTAAATTTCATGAAATGCTTAGATCAAAATTTCAACCTTTAGTCTTTACTGATTTCTATCGTTAACACTTTGCTAACATCATATATTAGGACATTATGTGTCACTTTCTGTTTGTACTAATTCAGCTAGTAGTGTTATTAGAATGACTATAGTTATGCTACTTATGTGTTGTGAATTGTTGAAAATTGTAATTTTTATAAGGTTTTACTGCTGTACAGTTGTTAAGTGGTGTTGCTGCTTAGATACAAAAAGAAAGAACGAACGAGAGAAATACAGTCATTATGGCTAGTGAGAATAATATCAACAACTTTCAGTCAGCATTCCAGTAAAGATGTTGACATTTTTCACTTCAATCAAAGTGAATTTCGAGTTACAAATAAATGGTATGAATTCCGTTGATTTTCATCAATAATAAATTTTGATCTTAGCAATTTTTGTTTCATTCTAATTGACAAGAAATTTGTTATGAATCATTCATTTTACATTTCTTTATCACATTGATAGGGGAACTGATAAATTGCAATGTCGAACTTTGTAATTATACGTTTATGACTTTTGCTTACATAATCATTAGTCTTTAGTACCATTCACGTAACTACGTCATATATTTCGAGAAATACTCAAATATGCTTGCAGAGGACCTGAGGAACTGTCTAGGGAGGGACTTTTTATTTTGAACAAAACAGTTAGATTTTTTCTCTGAATGTTAATTCATTTTCTACTCAACTTAGGAATTATTTAATTGGCATTATCTTCTGTATATTCGGGACGACAAAGTAAGTAAAATTTAAGAGACAGAGAGAGAAAGGCTGACTTGCACCTTATTAGACCATCGTCTTAAATACAAATTGGATCTTTTTAGTAAATGTCATCGTTATCTAAGCAACACTGATATTAAATAAAGTCAGCGATAAAAAAAAAATGTATCCGAATTTAAACTCTCTGCTCTATTCAGTACAATAAAGTAATTACACTTAGCAAGTGCAAGTTAAACTGATAAACTTTGAATTCAGTTGTTATCAGCTAATTACTACCTGGTGCCATGTTAGAAAATCGAAGTAATTTTACATGTCAAAATAATTAAGAAATTCTGTGTTAAATCTGCGAGATAAAAATTAGTAAACTGAAGACAGTCTTGTTTGAGTATTCTTAAGACCAACGACTGGTTTCATTTAAAATTATGTTGAAAATGATTTATCCAACATTCATCATTCAATGGTAACTGTACTTCTGTGCATTGTCTAGGATGTATGTCACTGCTTAATACGTTGTGAATAGATTCTTCCACTTTTATTGTTAAAAGTTCTCAGTGTGACAGTCAAATTTATATCCGATGGTTCAAAGGTTATAAGCTCGTTGCTCAATTAGCTTTCTTTATTACAAAGCAATCCTATCTACAATATCTAAATGAAGTAGGGGTGTTCTACTCGAAGGTCATTCTTACAAGTAATTTACATAATTTTATAAATCAACTGTCCACTACACAAAGGGCAAAGGTCAACCAAGAGTGACAACTATTTATTTACTCACTAACCATACGTTATATTGTAAGCCAACGCCTACTATAAAACGTGGTTAAAGCTATTGTCTAAGGTGCAGTTTTGATTGAAATAGTCTTAAATTCGGTTTTCATAGTTTGTTTATATCCTTCAGTCTCTACTCAACGACCAGTCCCAGCCGAATTTCTCCAATTAATCACTTTTGATACTATATTTGGTGTCCCAAAGAATTTATCATCAATTAATTAAAATTTCCCGGAAATCTCAGGGATGTGATCAGTCTGCTAAATCATTATGGAGCACTTAAGGCGGCATTGTCATATGTAAAACAAATTTAATTTAATGTAAGCATCGTCATCCCATACTTTTCTCAGACTTCGGAACGTCAATGAAAGCGACATTTCCACGTTATTTTCCTTTTTTTTTTTTATTTGTCAAATCAGTTTTATTGCTCTAAGCGGTTGAATGTGGAAACGTTTGCATCTTTGCTGTGCTTTTCCCGACATTTTGTTCAAATATAACTCAGTCAGAGTATCAGTGACAAATGTCAAATAATTTGCTATCATTAATTTCTTTTCCCTTTTTTTTCAAATACTACCTCTCTTTGTACTGTTTAACTGATTTTAAAGGAAATTTCTTCTTCTCGTCTGAAGAAATAATTTTTATTTTCAATCACTTTTTGAGATTGTTTCACTTCTGTGATAATCATAAAAATTGATCTAAATCTGACTTTCGGGTGCGATTGGATGATTGAAAGGATCGTTACTGATTACATAACAGTCAGAACGATTAAATTATTTCAATTCAGCCCTGCAAGTTTTCATCTGGAATACTTGGCTACAAACTTTATTCGAGGGGTGCCTTCTGGCCTAGTATTTATGCGAATTCTTTAGTACTGAAATGGATAATATTGTCTAAAACTGCGATTTGAAGATTCGTAGGCATTTCAGAATTGCATACAAATTTCATATTAAACAGAATGCATCACATGGAACGCCTCAAAAAATATGGACGCATAGAAAAAGAATTGGCTCGTAATTTGCTTGCTGAATTTTATGGCACCGCTCTTCTAAGAGTTAGTATTTCAATTTATTGTTTTAAGTCTATTGAAATTTGAACCTTGAACTTTTTTGATATTCTGAAGCTTAGTCCTTTCTCAAAGAATACAATGCACTTCTTCCGAGGAGATTTTCTGTCGTCTGATCAGGAAATAAATTTGATGGAGAATTCAGTTCATTGGTACTGGTGTGATGGCTCAGTTCGTACTCAGTCCCGGAACATCAAGCTCTCCGGTACAAATTAATATCGGTTGGGGACTGGCAATCGCACTATCAGTTTATGTTGCATGGGAAACTTCGGGTAACTTACAAAACTTTACGAAGTTGTTCTCTACCTGTTTTTTTTTACCTGAAACCATCAAATTAAATAAGGAAAAGTGTAGCTCATATAAAGAAGCTAAAATGAAGACTCAAATTCTGACTGTTTTGTGTTCGATAAGTGATAAATCCCTGATTTATGTCTTACCGAAAAAGTTTATATTTCTGCCATTTCAACTATATACCAAAACTATTATAACTAGATACTGCTTCAAGTACAAACACTTGCTAGGCTCTTTGTTAGTACCACAGATTAGGACTGTTAGCACTTTAAATCGATCCTATTTGGCCATAAGTTTTAGGAATGAAAACTCTTTTTATTGCAACACAATTAGTCCTTTTGCCAACACAATGTTGTATTTGTGTTTTAGGAATTATTGAAATTGTATGTACAATTGGACTAATTTCCAGGTGGACATGTGAATCCGGCAGTAACAGCTGCTTTATGCATTCTCGGAAAGATATCTTTCACTCACAGTTTTCTATATTTCATTGCACAAACACTTGGCGCCGCATTTGGCACAGGGATAATGTATTTAGTTTACAGTGGTAAAGTAAATTTGAATATTAAATGTAATTAAGTAAATAACTTCTTCCTGGCACTTACACAACTTTCACGTTTTCAGAGGCAATAAATGCCTTTGATGGAGGGGTCCGGGCAATAAGTGGGCCAAATGCGACGGGAATAATTTTTGCGTCATTCCCACGGGCTTATCTTTCAAATACTGGCGCTTTTATCGATCAGGTTTGTCTTTCTTTTGTTTACAAAATTCATTAAATCACAACTTAACAATAAATTAGCAAAATAGATTTTCATAGTTAAAATACTGTCCGATTTCGTAGTTAGTTACTTTTTGTTCGATAACTCATTTCAATTTCTCATTCGTAGTTTTAGATGGCTGGCACCAGTCTAATTGGCCTTTTTGTCGCATTCTGCTGCGAACCCAAGAACCAAATACCAAGAAATTTAATGCCAGCTCTCTTCGGTACAATCGCAACAACAATTTCAATTTGTTGTGGCTTGAATATGGGTTCTCCGGTCAATCCAGCTAGCGACTTTGGGGCACGGATTTTTGCCTCTTTAATTGGTTATGGCACTCAGCTTTTTACGTCAGTGCTTTAATTTTCCATCAATCTTATTTATTTGAGCAATCTTATTTGCTCTTTCAAAATTTCCTGAAATTTATCTAAATTTTCATTCTTTCAGATTCCATAACTACTTTTTTCTCGTTCCACTAGTGGCGCCAATTGTGGGTGCTATAATTGGCGTATATTTATATCAATTCTTCATCGGTTTTCATATTCCGAAACCGGCAGCAACAGCGGTAAATGTCAACAACGATAAATGGGAAACAGATCAAGAAAACGAATTAAGACAAGATTCTGGAAGATTACTATAACCAGAGCACGCTGTTGCTTCCGTCGTAGAATTTGAAACTCTGCATCATTCCTGCAACTTTTCGGATGCCAGGAGTCTTTCTTTTATGCAACCTTAGTCGAAGGCTGTGCAAACAAGCGCACGTGTGTACGTTTGTCGAATTGTTCGAAGAGCTTTCAGATACAAAATCATAAAATTGATTCTGGTCTTGTGTTTAACCAGTTATTTAATATTTTTATGTGTAATCAGTTCTTAATATTTACACGTCTTTATCTCTAGTTTTTTTTTTTTTTTAAGTTGGAATGAAAAACAAAAAGCTGCCATACAAAAACTACAGAAAAAGGTCTTCCGCTGTTTTTGAATTGTAATAAATTTAAATTTAAAATGAGACACTTAGCATCGAAATGAGTCGATTTCGAATTTCAGTTCAGTGTAGTGATACGAATATGCGAGTACATTAATATATAGGGCAACACAAGTACGGCTATACCAGAATAAGATATTGGTTGTGCGCTACATATGACAACAAATAAACCAAACTGTTTAGAATTTCCATATATTAGAGACCCATAATAACATATAACAAAATAAATAATGTGCAAATTCATATGCATTCAATCAAATGTTTGCGTAGAAAACACAGAAAAACAAAGGAAAGTCATCATCCGCCATGTAAAGTAGAGATTCTTCCGCTGTTTTTGAATTGTAATAAATTTAAATTTAAAATGAGACACTTAGCATCGAAATGAGTCGATTTCGAATTTCAGTTCAGTGTAGTGATACGAATATGCGAGTACATTAATATATAGGGCAACACAAGTACGGCTATACCAGAATAAGATATTGGTTGTGCGCTACATATGACAACAAATAAACCAAACTGTTTAGAATTTCCATATATTAGAGACCCATAATAACATATAACAAAATAAATAATGTGCAAATTCATATGCATTCAATCAAATGTTTGCGTAGAAAACACAGAAAAACAAAGGAAAGTCATCATCCGCCATGTAAAGTAGAGATAAATGAAACAGTATCGCCATCTTCTAGGACTGTTTTAGGCCCTTCAAGCACCTCCCAGTCCACATCATTAACAAGCACCAGTATTCCCGGTCGTACGCCTTCGCCGTCCTTATCTACCAATAGATGAGACCTTGATTTGTCCGGTATTAGATTAATATTGATATACCGCACCAAATCACTAATTAATAATGGCCCTGAATCATTTGGTACCTGAACATCGAATTCTTTCTGCATGTCAAACAACGATTCTGCACCACCAGAAAACTCGAGCTTCAAGCTTAAAACACCCATTTTAGTTTAAAGCCTGGAAATTAGTTCTGCAAACTTTTTATCAGAAGCCATATAAGCTTACGTGTATTGGGATCACACTTTTTACAAACACTGATAAATAATTCGAATACACTAATTTACATTTTAAAAATCTTCATTACTCGTCATACCCAACACTATTCTCAACATTTTTCACGTGAAATACTAGCCAGTTAATACTTCCACCAGTGCTACATAAATGTGTTCCAGAGTGAATTCTAGCAATCTCTGTCTTCTTCCCACACCTAAAACACGTACCCTCCCTATCTCGAACCCCTTTACATCCTAACCTCTCAATTTGAAATGCTAAGCTTTCACCTTCACGTGAGGACTTCTCTAATAACGCGGCCCAAACAGGTGTCGCGTTTTGATCCGTTTTGAAAATTATTGCTTAACTTACCTTCAGTTTTGTTTGTTAACTTAACTTCAATTTTTTTATAGGGAGCAAGGGGAGTAATTCTTTTCACTGAAAGTTGCGTTCATTCATATAGTGTTTAGTTTGAAATCCTTTCAACTAGGTATGCACGAGGCTTGTACCTTTTTATAATGGTTGTGGAAGTGAGACAGTTATGGTGCTTATTAAACTTATGTAAAACAAATGCTCTTAACATTGGACATTTTGAACAGTAAATAAAATAATGTCTGCTGTTTCAATATCTAGAGAATTTTCAGTTGCTGTTGAATAAACTTAATAAAATTTATTCACAGATGATTACGAAAAGAAACAAAAAACAGAATTTGGAACATTTCGAGTATACTAAAAATACTAAAGAGGTGAAAGATGAAAAGACTGAAATATTAGGTTCATCCAAATCCGGCATGAAAATGGTTGGAGAACAATCTATTGGACAGAGTAGTGCTTTTGCTGTGCTTGATTCGCAGTACAAATCATGGCGATTGATTGTGCGCAATTTACCATTTAAGGTAGGTTTCTCAAATTTTAGCTTTAGCCCTGTAAATTTCATTATATCAAAATTTTTTTGTCAATTAAATTTTTTTTTTTGATTTTTTTGTTTGTCAATTTTTTATATCATCGCTGTATGATTTAGACTTTTATAAAGTGCTTGTTATCGGTATTTTTTTTTTCATTGTTCTTGTAAGTTTCACATTTCAATTTAATTTACCTTTTTTAGCGTCGTTTATTTGATCCATTAAAGTGTATCCTTTTTAATGAAAAGCTTATATATGAAGAGCAGAAATACTATGTAATGTTGAGAGCACTATCCTTTATTTCCAGACGACACAGGAAGATCTACAAACAGTATTTGGCAACTTTGGCCCACTCAGTGAAATTGTTTTGCCGAAGTGCAAAGATAAACGGTTCCCTAATTCGTGTGCTGGTTTCGCGTTTATCCAATTTCGGAAACGTCAGAATGCCATGGAAGCAATTGAGAAATTAAATATGTCTGAGGTTAAAATATTCCTTCATTAGATAGTTTGTTTTGCCCGAAAGTGTTTCTCGTAAAAAATCCTGTCATATTTTCAGAAAAATAAAGGCAAGAAGTTTTTCCAGGTACTGGGAAGAAAAATTGCAGTGGACTATGCTTTGTCGAAAGATACTTACGAAACAGTAGTACATGAAGGTTTTTTTTTGTTGCAATTAATTCATTAAACGTGGCGTTTTTTGAGTGCACGTTTTCAGTTTATGCTCAAATCAAAACTTTTGAGCTCAAATTAAAAATTTTTGAACGCTTGAGTTCTAAGTTAGTGTTACATGACTACCTGCTATGGAATACAATTCATAATTGAATTGCTGAGTTATCCTTTTCTGTTATTTTCAGAAAAACAGAAGAATGAAGAAATTAAGAAAGAAATCAAGCAAGAGGTTGAGTCGAACGATGGCAGTATCATTGAGAAGGAGGGAAGAGACGATAGCGAAATCAAGGAAGAAGTAGTGAGTGAAGGCTTATCTGATGAAGATAGTTACAAAATCGAAAAGAAATCAGAAAAACAAGCTGCACAAGAATTCAAGGAAGACAAAGCAGTATTGGAAGGACGTGTCGTATTCATCAGGTTAATAGTCATGGTAGTTTAGTAAAAGTGTGGTGAGGAGTGAATTAAGGAAATTGTAATTCGCGAAGAAATTTCTTTTTTTTTTTTAGGTTATGATATCAACGTTGCAGTATTCGAGTTGAATTTTTAAGCTCACTTATCGGGCTGGCGCTTTTGGATTCAAAAAAAAAAAAATGAAATCGTGTTCTAGAAATTTTGTTTCAGAAACTTGTCATATGAAACAACAGATAAGGAGTTGAAGGAAGCCTTGTCCAAGTTTGGGAACATTTCATTAGCAGTTCTTTGTTATTACGCGGGTAGTGAGCACCCAAAGGGAACCGCTTTTGTGCATTTCGAAACAGCTGATGGGGCAGAAAAATGCTTATCTGCCATTGATCAGGTAAGATGTATGACCATTTTCTAGAAGCTAAATTCTTGGTGTCTGATAGCAATTTGAAAAATTGTTTTTTATGGAATATTATGATTTGGTAGTGTTCTGGTAAGGATAGTCATCTTTTAGTATTGGGTTCAAGAATTGATTAAGGTTTTGTCACACATTTTAGTATCGCTGTTTAAGGCTCCTGGTATTTTAATTGGTGGTCGTCGAATTTTCGGTCATCAAGCATTGCCAAGAAGTGAAGCAGCAAGAATTGAAAAGGTATCCATCAACGTAGTAGTTTGTCTTCAATATTGAAGGTACTAATAAGAAAAGCTAAATTAATGAGGGATATTGTGGATTTTTTTTGATTCGTGCTTACTCTCTCTGCTTTTCGTTATCTTTTATGACTGGCAATTTATTTTGATAGAAATACTTTTTTGTATATTGTTTTGTTATATTTTTTAAAAAAATGTCAATATCTACTTTTTTTTTAAAGGAGAAACTGTCAAAAAAACCAAAAGACAAGCGAAATCTTTTCCTTCTACGTGCTGGTTTTATACGACCTGGTTCAACTGCTGCAGCTGGGATGAGTGAAGCAGATGCTGAGAAGCGTGCACGTATGGCAGTAGTTGCACGAAAAAAGCTAAAGAATCTTCACATGTATGTTTGTTTTAGTTCTATTGTATCAACATGAAATCATGTTGCACATCTTGGGCATCTTATTCCCGATTTATATTAATTTTTCTTTACATATACTCATATTTATGACTTTTGTATTAATTTTTCTGTGCTCTTTCAGATACATGTAATTCACTATACTTATTTATGAATTAAAGATTTTTTAGATTTAATCTGATCTGTAAAGTAGAGGGACTTTGGAAAACTTATTTAACAAACTCAAATGTTATTTTGTCTCCTAGGTTATAATTTCAGTAGCTCAGTTTATTCTTGTTACTAACTTGCTATAAAATGTGATAAAGAAGAAGTGAATAATATTTAATGTCTATAAAGTTACAGAAGCAAGCAATTATGAAGCTAAATTGCAGGTTTGTCTCTCCAACGCGTTTGGTTGTTCACAATTTACCAAAACCTTTAACAGATAAAGCCTTTAGATCGATGTGCTTTATTGCAGCTGGCAATCCAGATGCCAAAATAACTGAAGTATGTCTTCCAGTTAAAAAAAAATTGACTATATTAATTCTTCAACTCATAAACTTGAGCTTTTACTGTGTTGAAATATTTCTCAGCATTTTTATCCATCTTAGAAGAAAATTAGATACTTTAGTAGTCTATTAATTTGCAAGTACATGTTCATCTAAATATGGTCAATATTTTCAGTGTCGGATTTGGCGAGATAGAAATAAATTAGGTACGTCTGGTGAAGCCGTATCTCGAGGTTTTGGCTTTGTCAACTTTTTGAACCATGAGGATGCATTATCAGCTATGAAGCATTTAAATAATAATCCGGATATATTTACCAAAGAAAAGGTTTCATTTAAGCTAGATTTCTATTTTGAATAAAATTTAAAATTTAAAAAGTTATTTAATGTGTTTCTAAATTACTTCTTGTGATTCTTGTTAGTAGCGATTTGATTACTTTTTGATGAAAAGTTGAACATTTTTAGTGCCACGCTTTAAATATTTCTGTAAAAGGCTGTAAACTATTGACGGATTCTTTTAATTTATTTTGTCCATAAATTGCGTTTAATTTAAAATATTTTTAGAGACCCATTGTTGAATTTTCTATTGAAAACCTGGTTGCTCTTCGACTTCGTGAATCAAGGCTGAAGAAGTCGCAGCAGAACCAAAAGGGTAATGAACAAGTTATATGTGATAAGAATAAACTGGATTTGGAACAAACAAAGAAGCATCTTTCGGCTGGTGGACAGAAACCTCTTCCTTCTTATTTGGGACCAAAAATTCGAAAAAGAGATGCAAATATGAAAAAAGCTCAGGTGAAAAAATTTAACAAGTTTGTATTGTGCCTTTAATTGTTTTTTTTTTTTTTTTTTTTCTTTTTTCGAAAATTTGTTGCTCTTATTACGTCGATATTACGTTTAGGTGAAACAAAAAATTGGTAAGAAAAGAAAACTGCAAGTAAGAATGTCTGGAACAGTATTAAAGAAAAGAAAGACAAATCATATAGCTGAAGCGACGCCGAAGAAGAAAAAGACAAGTCGTTCTAAACAGCTTACAAAATATCTTACCCTCTCAGGTTGATGTGATAATTTATGATAATTTCATGAACTCTGTGCACTTAATTGAAAATTGTTCAAGTGAATAGTTGTTGATGTCTCAGTTGTTAGTGAATAATTGTTATTGACGTTTTCAAATCTCTAGACTAATGAAAATTTCCGTAAGTCGAATTTCACGTGAAATAAAAATAAATTCCGAATGCTTCATATCAACTTTTTAAATTGAGGCTTTGCAGATTTTTTAGGTGAGGATTGAAATTTAAGTTTTATAGACAAAGCGCTTTGATTTTATTGGTTTCTAGCTCACTTATGTGGATAGTCTATTTAAAATGTAAACGACATAAATTCACTGTCAAATATGAGACATTTGCTTATACTTTGTTATCTCCACAGTGCAAAAAATCTGTTTTGCTTATGATGTGGTTATGTCACTGGCTTTCATAAATTTGTTGTTTCGGTTTTTGCTGTTTGCTGATATTCGTATTTGTAAGGTGAAATAAAATTAAGTGTTTAAAAACTAATGTGTATGGTATTTAATTGCTCTTCATGTAATTCTAAATTATCGTGGCAGATATTTTCAGTAGTATTAGAGCTTAATTTTACATGCAAAAAAATTTCTCATTTGCAAATTTTCAATTCAGGACACTAACCAATAAAACTTTAATATAACGTCATCGTGTTCCGGGGTACCTGATTTTCTTTGCCTTCCTAATGAATGCAATTATCAAAACTATTGACGATTTTTTCTTGTTTGCAGCTAAAGTTGTGAATTATGTTACTATTGTAGTGGGAAGATTCGATTAGGAAATTTTGATGCATATGTAAGTTTTTGTTTTTGTTTTTTTTTTTTTTTTTTTTTTTTTTTTGTGGAAGTAGTTCTGAGTTACCTATTAATGATTGATTCAGGTAAACTATCATTGTTGAGGAGATTTATCAAGTATTATTAGGATTAATTTAGATATAACATACAGCTCTCGTTCTTTTCTATTCTACTCTGAACTTTATGTGATTGCAACTCGCTCCATCGATTTTGGCCAATAAGTTATAATAAATAAATTTGCAACTAAGCAAATCATTGCTAATTTCAGTGATTAAAAGTTAAGATTTTTTTTTTTTTTGATTATTAGAAGGGAATGAGGCGTGCTGATTTGTTTGGTTGAGAAAATTATAAATACAAGAAGATTACTTCAGGATACGTCGTTTATCTTATGATTCGGGCACTGCCAAAGAAATTCGTTTGGTAGTACGAATTAGTGGTGATCATCTATCATTGGAAGGATTACGACGAGCACTGTATAATTTCTTGTTTGCTCGAGCTAATAACGGGAAGTTTATCCTGCAGTTAGGAGTAAACAAACATGGAAGACAACCACGAGGTAAAAAAATTGAAGCGCTTTTGGATCGATTTGGACTGGAGCGTGATGAAGGACCTGGAACAGGTGGACCATTTGCTCCCTACTCGGTTATTAAACGTCTAAAAACATATGCTGATGTAGTGGAACGGCTAGTTGACATAGGTTTAGCATATCGATGCTTCTGCTGCGATGATACATGGAAGGAAGTGGATCCAGTAAAGAAAGAACGTCCAAAACTACTTCCCTGTTTGAAGGAATGTTTCACGAAGACACGCAGTGAGTCCAAAAGTATGGTGTTCGACGGTATGCCACATGTTGTCCGTCTAAGAGTACCTAACCGAGCATACTTTTATAAGGATGTCGTGCACGGTGAGTCATCTAAACGTTTGCCCGCGACGGATCAGCTACTGCTCAAACCAGATTTCGTCCCAACGTCATTTTTTGCTGATACTGTTGATAATCATACCCTTTGTGCTAGTCATTATGTTGCCTCTTCCTCCCGTGATTTTTTACAGCTTCCCATCTATGAAGCTTTGCAGTGGTGCTTACCGACATTTATAAATATTGGAAATTTACGGCTTCGCAGTGGTTCACGATTACTGACGTATAATAATGCTAGAAGTTATGTTAGGACATACAGTTCAGTTAACGAATTGTCAATTTTAAATTTTTTATTAGCTGGTCGTGGTTTACGGAAGACCTGTGATAAAAATGACCGCTTGTACAGTATCGACGAAATGATTGCTCAGTTTGATATTAGCACTATTAATGATGATGCGTTATTGATTAATACGTATAAATTAATGAAACCGGAACGACAAGAAAAGTTGCTTGAACAACAACTTGAATTGGATGAAGAGGTGCGTCTCTTAGATATGTTCGACAAGGATTTTCTCGATGATATGAAATTCTCGGATTCAATGCCAAAAAGTTCATAGTTTATACTAAAATCTCTCTCAGAGATAATCTGTGGTTACTTCAAATTGAATAGAAAAAAAAGGTAGGTAGTTTTTCCGATTTGGAAAGACTTGTAATTTTTTCTAATTGGTGGCGCATAAGTTTCTTAAATTTTTTTAATTCTTGAGACAGGAACTGATTCTGATTTATTTGGACGTTTGAGATTGAATTTTTCAAATAAGCTTTGTTTGACCTGTCGATATACATATTTTTGATTTTTCTTTTTAAAATATATCGAATTGTAGTTTATGCTTGTTAACTGTTTGTTTTCCATTGTTTATTGTATAGAAATGTTGAACAGATAAACATGTTTTTTATGAGGTAATTCTCAAAATATCTGGATACGAAATTCCGCTAATATTATAATATAATGTTGTATTCTATTCGTCAAATCGCTGTGGTGTCTGAAAAGACTTCGGAGAATTTCTTCCTAAAACCTTTAAAACCAGAAGGAATCAGTGTGTGTAGAAAATGTTTTAGCGCTTCCAACTGATTGTGATTTAGGATTTACGATGCACTAATATAAAGAAGCGAAGTGTAGGGCGAATATGTAGTCTGTTCTTTAGTGCTGTAAATTTGTCACCTGTGTAGCCATTATTTGAGGATGACATATTTAAATAAAAGCATCTTGCTGACTCAAATTAAGCATTGTTGGTGTCAGTTTATCACAGATTTCTTCTAAACTCTGTTTAAGATATAATGCGTAACGATAACAGTTATAAACTACGAGAATTTTTGAAGAGAATTAGAGATTCGTATGCGGATTACGACGATTACTGGGTTGAAAAATTAGTGAAGGCCATACCGAAAGGTTGTTCATTTTGCTCTACTTTAAAAATTTGCATTGCCGTATAAAAGATGCGAACAAAGGTACACTAAGATTATCGTAGAATTCTTCTTTTACATTTGTTAAAAAGTTAAGTGTTGTTTGCGGGAGGGAACCAATGTTTTCACTTTTATGTTAAATGAACTAATATTTAATGAAAGAGCAACTTTCATGACGAATGGGAAGAATATTGCCATTGCATAAATTTAAGGCATATTTGGAAAAAAAAATTGAACTCTATATCGAGTAAATTAAATTCGAGATTCAAGTTGGCCAATATCATGTTTATAATAAAATCATACTCCACTCAATGATTTCAGGCAATGAAACAAATGATGCATTAATTGAGTCACTGAAATTTGGAACAGACGACAAACTATCAAATCAAAGCAACTTCTATTTCATTCATCTCAGTTTAATCAAAGAGGTTAGGTTTATGTGAATGGTGGACAAAGTGAAGAGTGATATATTTGCATAGTCATTGTATAGAATAAGTTAAATTAAAGAGGCAGAATAGAAGCAAACTAATATATGTCAAATGTAATCTGAAACTTTGGAAAAAAGTTGGAAAAAGTTGTAAACCTATTCAAATTTGGGTTTAAGTTGAATTTTTTTTCAGCAGTAATGAAGTATTTTGAATTATTGGTAATTTTTTTCTTATATATTATCAAGGGGGATATAGATTTTAGTAATTTTTTAGATAATATCAAGTGGAGATAAGGATTTATGGAATTGTGATTTTATCAGGAATGTTGTGCGGCAAATTTTGACCGATATAACTTTTGATGGTTCGACAGTAGTTATGAATGCTTTATTTGCGCTTTATTATGAGTTGGAAGAAAAGAATTTTTCTTATGAAGATGAAGGTATTGTGCATTTCGTGGGTTTGATAAGATCTGTTAACGGAATCTTCCAAATTCAACTTAAGGTTGTTTTCGAATTTTTCAGTTCTCGAGTATTATTAATTGGATCAGAGGTAAACTATACCTAGTTGAAGGTATTTTAGCTTGCAAGAAGTTGGGTTAGCGAATTATAGGCATGAGTGACTTTTGCGCTTCGATGTATATAATCATTGTCAAATGAAACGATTTAAATGAAATAATAGCGAATATAATCAGCCTTTTTTAGGAGGTTCATATATATCCATATGCTATACTAGCGTTTCCTTACTGATCCATAATTTGATCTAACTTTTTTTTTTTCAGAGATAGTTCAGAAAGCTCTTCACTTGTTGAATGACAGTATAGATCCAGCTCTGAATGTAGTTATTTGTAGTTATCTAGACAAAATATTTGCAAGAAAGTATAACACATCTTGGGCTTTTGCCATTGTTGAGCTATTGAAGACGAGCGGTTCCAAAGCATCAGATTCCGCATGGCGCATGAGGTTAATTTATTTTTTCAATTTAAATTTACAGTGCATGCATAATTGTGCAATTTCAAAAACATTAAATGTTGATCACTTATTGTAAATGGCTTTTTGATATATTTTATGGTTTCCATCTGGGTTCTTCTTCCAGATTATCGCAACTGCTATTACACGATCCAAGTCTCATATCTGTGAAGCAATCAGAAGAAATTTTTATGTTGGCAAAAAGTCTTGAAAACCGAACTCAACATATCAACGTCTCTGAATGTGAAATTATATCGATGAATTTCCATTTTTGCAAGCTTTTGGCCGAACTTGTGTAAGTGAAACATTGCACCCTGATCACGAATTTTTTTTTTTTTTTGTAAATTGCTTTGAACTGAAATAGCTAGTTTGAGAATATTTTTGTAAAGGAATTCATAGTGTTGAAATTAAAAAGTTAAACTTCATTAAAAATTCAAGTTTTGCTATTTTTTTTTTTTTTTTTGATCAGTTCTATTTTCATCACTAAAAATCGATTCTATCTCACCCTCTTCAGACTTATTTATATCCATTTTTATTAAAGTTCAAAACCGTTCATCTTCTGATTGAGTAGATTTGATTTAAAAGAATTCAATGACAAAATGGTCTTTGATAGGATAGAATGACATGGAAGAATATTCCTCCCGATGGAATTTAATACTTGCAGACAGCAAAAGAAAATGAATATGGAAATATTTTTCGATGACGACTGGCGTTGCATTCATATCAGAAATGAGATTTTATTGCATTTAATTGCTATGTGAGTTTTTCATTGCTGTTTTGTTTCACTATTGTTTTCAAGTTTAGCAGATGATTAGTTTGATAGAATTTTCACTGATTATATTTTTGTTATAATTCTGTTCCAATGTGTAATTAATTGAATAATATGAAAATATCAATTAAAAAGTTATGAAGTGAACAGCTCAGTAATTATAGTAGAGTGAATTACAAATTTTTAATTAACCGTTATGTTTGAATTAGTTGATGAAAACTAAATGTTGAAAGTGATGAAATTTGGAAGTCATTCAGGTAATCATGTTAAAGCAGGAATAATTCAATGCAGTATTTTTGTTACTTACAATTTAACTCTTTTTTTTTCTTGGGAAATAAATATTGATTACATTTTAACTGATTCATGTGCAGTTGCTAGGCGTTAGTGATAATAACAGTTTAGGGGGCATGCAGAATTAATCAAGGCTGTATGGGACACTCCAAACTTACGCTTATTGGATTTGGTGGAAGTTGGACATCATTCTGGTAGAGGTGATTATCTTTTTATTTAACAGTTTTACATTGTTTGATCCTCTCCTTTTTTATATCACAAATTTCCATTTATTTGCTTAGTGTTATCTCTAGTTCTTGCTCTTGAGAAATGCAGTTTTACACTGTTTCATCTTTACTTTTCATGTTCAAACCTGTCAAATCCGTTTGTTTTTTTTTTAATTTTTTACTTCGTATCACGGATACAAAAATGGCTACGTCATTTCTAATTATCATTATTTTTATTACAGATTATACATTTACATCATACATCAAGTTTTGCAGATTACTTTGATCGAGGTCTGTCCATATTATGCGAAGAACGTAACACATTATCAGCTTGCAAATTTATCGCAAGCCTTAAAAATCCATCCTTGGCTGCACTAAGTTCTTTGTTTGATGCTTTGGAGCTTCACGATATGGTAGGTATTTACTTGCAATTATAGGTTTGTCACCAATATGTAGTAACAGTTTCCAATTTAAGAAGACGAAGAATTCAAAAGATTAAATAAATTATTTGCATTTTATTACAAATTTAATTTTCAGACAAATCCATTGGTTTTAAATGTATTACTGCAAAAATCGGAAGCTTGGAATAGCAAAATTATTCCGATCATAGCTTCAAAAGTCGCCGAACAACTTACCTTGCCAAAATGGGAATGCAGAGATAATGCCTTAAGTCAGTTAACAGTGCTAGTTAAATATGGATACAATGGATCTGGTAAATTTTAAATCCATTATAACCGATCTCTAACTGTTAATGACTGTATTGGTCATGCTGCGATAATGAAGTAAACGAAGGTATTTCTTAAAGTAATTAATTGATTGACTGTCATGACAGAAATTGAGACTAAGTCATTTCAGACTCAATATTAATTGTTTTTTTTCTAGAGCTGATACCGTGTATCACTGATATGGTGAAGAATGATGAAGAGCCTTATGTCCGAGGCGAAGCTCTGGCTTTGTTAAATCAAATTGGAAATCGAACGGATCTGAATAATTTAGCTGCATCTGTGCTACTTTCAGATTCCGATTCGGCTCCAAGGTCGGTTTTACTTTCTGAGATATTTGCAGACGGAAATTAGCCCTCTTCTGAGTATTTTGTTTTTTTCAACTGAAATCTGTTGTATTTGTTGTTCTATATTTATGGATAATTTTTAGGATTGAGGCTGCTCAAATACTACGTAATGGTCTACCACAAACGGAAAAGCTTTGTCTTGACGTAATACCGAAAATTTTGTATGATGAAGATATCGCATTGCATCGTATAGTTATCGATTTGTGTGCTGCCTTAGTTATCGATGATAGAAATGAGGAATTGAAAGGTTTACTGCTAAAATTTCTTGAGGTTAGTCTTGCTGATTACGTTTTACATTATTATCATTGTTTCTGGTTAAAGGAGTACTATTTGTAAATAGCTTTTAAATTTTTTTTTTAAATTTGTAAATTTTGTAAATTTTTTGTAAAACTTTTAAACTTGTAAATGATAGATTCATTGGAAGTCATAGAATTTATATTATTAGAACATGATCTGTAATGCAATCATCTAAATGAGTATCACTTGGTAATATTATGCGAAAATTATAATTTAATTGACATAGACCGTGTTTCATTTTTAAATAGAAATTTGTAGCAAGATGAAGTAGACTGTTACGAGGAATTGAGTGAAATGTTATATGGAAAAAGCAAGGAATTGGAACAAAGTAAAGATAACGATGATTTGGAGTATATATTTAATGTTTTGGCAAAGCAAGATGACGAAGATTTTGATAAGGACTGTTACGATTTATAAACATCCACTTTGACTTAATTCTTGTTTGTCAGTTGAAGTGATATTGAACTGCATGAAATAAAAAAAGATTGTTTTACTAGTTAAAAAGCAGTTTCGATGCGAAATTGATTTATTTCCGTAATTGTTAAACAGATATTTAAAAAATAATATATACTCAGACATGTTAGCTTCATCATCTAAGTCAATGATATTGCTCTCTTAACGTTTTCTCTTTTTTCTAAATCGCAAATCTGATCTGAATTTTTGCTATTTTTAAAGATCTCATGTTTTAAAAATGTTAATAATTGTATGTATCTGATTATGATTTTATAACTCTTTTTATTTTGTAATTCATAACTCATTATTTCCTAGTAATTCATAAATCAATTATTCGTTCGATGTATTTCTCATTTTATATTTGCCGAAATACCCGAACTAAAATTCATGAGGAAGTAAATGCAATCCTTTTGCAACAATGTATTGATAATCACTTAAATTTGATAGCAAAGTTATGAAAAATAATGTCAGACAGAATGTGAATTTATTAAATTAATTGAATCAAAACTCGAATAATTGTACAAGTAATCATTAATTTGCATAATGTTATCCTTGAAGTTAGTGTAGTGTTTCTGTTTGAAAGAAATACGACCAATTTAACTTTTGCTGCTTGGTGGGAACCTCCAAGTTGTTTAAAACGATAAGAATTGAAATGAGTGGGAATAATTTAAATAACTATTCAGATCTCAATGCTCTCTCTTTCTTTTCTGCGCAGCTGTGCATTTCAAATTTCCGATAAACCAGAAGGAATTAATTGAAGTCTTATAAATTCTCAGGATTAGAAATTTCCATATCTTAAAAAGTAGGTTTAGAATATAATAATTATAATAGAGCAGAATTGTAGTATTTTTACTTCCTTGCAGTTTATACATTTCTTTTAATTTTTGTCTCTGCAAATTCTCAAAAAAAAAAAAAAAAAAATTAATTACTATTATAAATTCATCTTTTGCAATCAAATAGTTAACACTTTCAAGTGGGAAATTAATCTACTTTTGTTATTTCTATTTTAATTTTCGTTCACAATCATCAATTACTTTCCGATCTTTATGCCATCTTAAAATAGTTTTGAGTAAATTCAACTGGTATATCCTTGTTACTACTTGTGAAATTTTTATTAAAAGATCAACAAAACATCAAACTATCTGATCTTATTAATTCTCCACATATATCCACAAAAAGGGGTTATCCCTGTCATAAATTTGTTCTTCCACAGTTTTTACTTATCACTTCCCGTCTTCCCCTATCATTGATAAAAGAATTGGTACGGTTGGAAAATTAGGATTAGAATAATTTTGAAGAAACTATGGAAGCAACTTCAATCTGCATAAATAATTTAATCAAATATTCGAATTGTTTGGTTTTCTTCGCCCTTTCGTAGTGTTCATCTCTTTGATATTGATGAATATCCATCTGTTGGATGTTTAGTGACACAAATGTTGACATGCAAATGAGATAAAGCCTATTGTAAAGACCTCAGTTGTCCTTATCACAACTAATTACAATCATAAAATTATTTTATATCAACAACAATACGGAATTAATTATTCCTCATATTTCTATCAATTGCTTCATCAAATGCAGTGTTGTTTATAAATAAATCAAAGAAGGAAGTGTATTGAGGATACAAATGTATAGTTAAAAGAAAGTTAACAAAAATTTCTGTATAACTGTCTGATTTACTTAATTTTTAGACGGATGTCTGATTTACTTAATTTTTAAACAATGAAAGTTAGCTTAGAAATACTTAATTACTGGTTAGACAAGTGGATAGCAGATTGGATAGAATAGAATGTTACAGAATGAATTAATTCAATGAAATAATGAAATGATTCAGCAATGGAAGGCTTTTAATTTAAAATAAGTAGAGGAAGATTTGTAGAGAAAATATTTTTCTCTATAGAAAGAGAATATCTTTCCTTCTCTTTCTCTAAAGAGAAAATATTTTTCTATCAAGAAAACAAAAATTTAATATTTGTATGAGAGATGACTGACAATTCCTAACATATAATAATACATTTACATTCAAACATTAACATATACATAAAACATACAAAATTTAAATGTATCACAACTATTGCTATGTAGTGCTTTAAATGTTACCTTTATTAGCTTACATATGCTTACACAAGTAAAGTATACTTGACATAATTTTTTATCGGAACTACCCATTATATGCTTCCTACTCTTTATTTCCATAAATAATAAATCAATTTCATGATTATATAAGTGAAATAAACATATGATAACTGAAGAGGAAAATGCTTCCCTAAAAGAATTTAATCCAAATATTTCTGAACAATGTTTGAAAGCAATCATAACAAATCAAAATTAACAATTCAAATGAAATCAAAAAAAATGTATAAACAAATGAAATCAGTGGAATTTGTTGACATGTATTTGGTTTTGATTGAAATTATGAACGGAAGAGATGAAAATTGTATCATTTTCGTGAGTTATCGTATCCTTTCAGACATTCCCTGAAAAATATATTTGCTATTGTTGATGAAAATTAATAGTAATATTAAACTAATTGCATAGTTATATTAAAAATTATGAATGTCAACCTTTTTGTTTCCTTTTCTAATGGTTTGTATTATTGGAAAGTTACTTCGCACTTTTTCGTAAAATCATAAAATCCTTTAATTATTGTCAGTCCTTTTCTCGTTTGTCATCTTTTGATTGAAGTATAAATAAGATTGAAATTAGCTTATAGTAAGACTGGAAATGTTATTTGATGTGTTTGCTTTACCATAGTTTTAATTATAAAGTAGAAATTATTAACCAAATGTTTGTTGGAGTAATTTCTATTCGATTTTCTTCTGTAAAAATTTCTTGGGTTTCATATATGCATCATAAAAGTATCGTATGAAAAGTACAGCAAATGAAGAATAAATCGCAAAACCAAGTGCCAAATTATCCATCGACTGCTGGCAAATCTATGAAAATTTTGTAACAATTCAAATTTACTTTAAAAATGAAAAAGTTCAACTAATAAAATTTCATTAAACAAAACATCCATGGAGATGATTAGTGGGCATTTACAGGAATTTCAGCAACACTTTTTGATACAACGATAATACATAACCATTGTACATTATTAGCCTTACAGAAGGAATGCTTATGATAGGAATCATTAAATTACTGAATCAAATTCTTTATTTTACTGTTGAACTTCGAAGCATTTATTGGTTATAATATCCGATAGTACTTTATGTTTAAAAATTTCGAAACATGAATTTCCATATACTTTGATACGACTCTTATATCATATTAAAATATAACTTGGTCAGTTTTTATCTCAAAATATATTTTTTATATTAATAATGGGTACTTTTTTCTTTTTTTTGTGATCGGCAAAAAAAAAAAATAATATCAAATTATTTTTTTCTTCTTCTTCCTAAAAAAGTTATTAAATTATTTTCTCTTCTCTCCTTAGAAGTCTCATATTTTGAAAGTAGTAAATTAGTTTTATTAAATTAGTAAATGTTCGAGTTTTGACTTTTATTAATAGATTAGAATGATACCATAACTTACAGCATTTTTGAGCTTCTGTTTTAGTACCACTATGGAAATGAGAACACCAACAAGCATTTGTGATGTTTGTAGCACAGTAACAAACATTGAAAGTAATTTCGGTAGTCGAATACCTAATGCTGTGATGGAATAGTATGCATACATTATAGAATGTACAAAGAAATTCATCATTATGAACCAACGACCAGAAGCTGTTAATTCGATTGCTGAAAGTGAAATTATCACTCACATTTTTTATGCTTAGTGATAATAAGACGAAAGTTTGGTATAAACATCTATTCAAAAGTTGTGATACAAACAAACAAACAAACAAAAAAAAAACTTCGAAAAAAGAGAAGCCAAGAAGATAAGGAGATCATGTGGAAATAATAGCCATAGCTTTTTTAATTATAATTTAATTTTAAAAAACGAACAAAATTAAAAGTAAGCAAAAATTGTTCACCTGCATTCCAACTATAGATAAGAACTACAGCATGATGATACCAGTGCAAAAATATTAATGGCTTCTTACGCATCAACAAAAAAATCGTATCACCAAGTTCAACAACTTTCGATGTCGCAAATGCGAAAGCCCATACAGCGGCTGGTTGAAAAGGTGAAATTGAATAGCAAACTGAATGCACAAATGGACGTGTGGTTAGAGTACTGTAAAATTCTTCCCCAAATCTAAAAAATTTTTTAAATTACATAAAATAAAAAGAAAAAAAGATCATTTCATCAGTTCATTTCTTCTTTTTTACTATAAATTCTATTTTTATTACAATCTAAACTATTCATATCAAATAAGTTGTGAAGAGAAATTTTTCAATATTCTTAAAATGAATTATATCAACGTCACTTTTTATAAACTTTATACCAACAAATTGTTAGTGATGTGAATTAATGAATTGTTGGATGATCACAAAAAATCATTCTGTTAAAGCTATCAAAAAAAAAAAAACTATGAAATTTCTTATTTACCTGTTAAAAAAAAAAAAAAAAAAAAATGAACTGTCGTGTTTATTCCCTTTTTTTCAAAATAGTACAATTATTTTAGATTTTAAAAATTTCGAATACAAAAATTTAATTTCTTTCCTTTACCTGATTGTTGCAATAAGACTGAATACAGAAAGGATTGCATTCCATATGCATAATGGCAATCGAAGATTCCAAGCTTTCCGAGTTCGTTGATAACGTTGTAAAGCATGAATTAAACATACATAAATAATAGCTATATATATTGAAGTGCCCCAATGCTATAATTTTTGAATTTAAGAATTCAGATAATCTGCAATAAATGAAAAGAAAATTGAACAGTAAATAAAGATAAATTTATTTATTTTTTGTTATCTATAAATAAATGTTTTAATAAAATATATTACAATTTGAAACTAAAAGTTAAGAAACTCCACCGCTTCCTTCTAGCCATCACTTTACTTCAATTTTGATGCAAATTGTTCATTTTCCTCCAATGAAAAACAAGATTCTTTTTTAATTATACCCTAATTCAGATCATCATATAGTTTTAAAAAATTAAATTACAATACAAATCTTTCTCAATACAAATCTTTCTCTCTCTTCAATTTCTAAAAATTAAAATCTATTTTGTACGACAAGCATTTTTTTTTTCTTTTCTTTTTTTTTGCTTTTAATTGGATCGGAAGTAATTGGAAATAACATTTAAATTAGAGAATATAAGATATGTATCAACTAAAATTTCTTTTCTTTCTTCATATTAATATTAAATGATACTTTAATATTAATAATATTCTATTTACATAGCTAAACAATTGAATATGTTTGCTTATCAGACAATATTGTTTATTGTTAATCATAGTAGTAATGATAAAACAATAACCAAATGATCATGATAAACATTAATAGCGAAGAATGAAAATAAGTAATTATATAATTATGCTACTTTATTTTATTCGAATAGACAACAAAAATTAAATGCTATTCATTTATCATTTCTATTTTTTTATCAGTAGCGATATGGTTTTTTAAAGATAATATGGTTGTGTATAATAATCATATCCTACTTTACATACATTTAAATTTTAAATGGCATATTTTATATATTCGTGCTGCCTAGTTTTTAATAGGTGCTAAAATATACCAAAAAAAGATTTAACCAATGCCAGAAACTTTCATAAATAAACTGAGAGAGAAAGAAAGGGAGAGGGAGGGAGAGAGAGAGAGAGAGGGAAGGAAATATAGACGAGCATTTGTTCATTTTGAAAAAATTGTGGACAGGATGAAATATCGATGATGTTATTGAATTATTAATGAAATAGGAATGAAAAATTTTCCCCATTTAATTGAAGAAACATACAAATATACAATTCATATATATTCAACTTTAGAAATAAAAAAAATTATACCTAGCCTACTAATAACATTTGCAATACTTTACTTCTTTTTAAGTGATAATTAAATTTTCAGCACTACTGAAAAGTCAGTGCCTTTTTGACGAAGCAGAAAAAAAAAAAAAAAAAAGGAATTTTTGAGTGCAACAGGAAATATTCAATAATACTTGGTATATTCTCAAATTGGCCAATTTCCTTTTCTGATAATGAACAGCACTAATAATTTTATACATCAAATTCTATTTTTTTAAATTTTGCTTATGAAATGAAATCTCTAAAATATTTATGTCAACTGGAAAAAGTTAAAAAGCTTGCATTAGTGCTTCAGCTGCTTTTTGTAAGTCAAAATAACACAGTTTAATCAAATGGAAAAAAATTTTCAAAATTTTACTAAAAAATGAAAGTTCGAAGCATCAAATATGTATTGCATATAACAGATTTCCTTTTATTTAAATATTTAAGTTATTTTTTAAATATACTTAATATTCAAGTTATTATTCAAGTAAGGAAGAGAAAAAAAAAAGTAAGAATTATCACAAACCTTGGAAAAGAACAGTTGTACTGCTACGGGATTCCAGTACTTCATTTCCAAATTGTAATTCAATGTATAATTATATGGTGCATAGAAAACTTTTTCAGCTGGTCCACGCCACACTTCAAATTCCGGATAATTGAAATCGGAATAGTGTTGCCGTTCTTTCATATCTTCTGACCAAGAGTAACGACCAAATAGCTCCTTTCGCCTTATCATAAATAATATTAGTACTGTTTAATCTAACATTTCGTTTAAATGGATTCAAATGGATGACAAATTATCACATCATTATATATATATGATAAGAATGCAAATAAATAAAAGAATTAAATTTATTCGAGGAAAAAAAAATTGGATTGCTAGAAAATGCATGCTGATGTTTGAAAAAAATAAATCAGTCAATTAGATTGTGCATAAAAGAATTATGTATAATCTAATTAATCAATTAATAGATTAACTTAATATCAGTATATCAGTATTAGCATATTTTCGATCTCGAATCTTAAGGGGTCAATGTTAGAGTATATAATGATGCTAAAAAAAAAAAAAAAAACAATTTCAAAATATGTAGGAATAAATGCAATTCATATTAACGCCATCATTTCTCGATCTCGAATTTCGATCATATAATTATTAAGGCCTTTAAATGATATGCTAATAGAATAAGCAAAGTGAGCAGTGCTAATGTACTTACTAAACATAATGTAATTAATTAAATATTCTGCTTTATGCTTATTTCGTTCGCACATGCACACACACACACATACACACACACACATACATACATACACTTTTAAATTCATTACATTCATTTTTTATTTGAGAGGAAAAATATGAATGAATGAATGAAGTAGAAGAAGGCAAATGAACGGCTGTTTCTTAAAATGTTTCCTTATCTAAAACGAATGTTTTAGGCAAAAAAATCCTTCCTTCCCAGCTGCACTAAACTATCAATTTCACATTAACATCTGTTTATCAATTTAATCACTGTGAGAGAGAGAGAGAAGGGAGAATAAACGGAAACTAACAAACAAAATAAAAATTACTTCACAAATTTTATAATATTTAAGAAAGCAAATTTTCCTTTCTTTTCTTTTGTGAATAATTACATGCTAAATATATATATATTTTAAAGTTACGTTATAAAAATAAATTTCAGAAAGAGAAAAAGAACAGGGTAAAACAATATTATATGATGGATAATCAAGTATAGTCTATTATCATGTATGCAATTAATTAATTAATTATTATGCTTCTCAAACTTGAGCCATATTATATATGTACATATATAATCAAATATTAAAATTATTGATATGGAATGCAAGATTAAAACATTTCACATATGTATTTGTGGGAGCTAAAATAATATATAATAACAAACTAGTAATTATCACTAAGCTGCTTATTGTTATCATATCACAATAATCATCAATATAGTTAAAACCAGTCTTTGAAGAATACTCGCAATTTATTTATTTTTAACAAATATTTAAAAATTGCTATCATAGCTAATTATTATCACTAGCTGCTATTACTACTAACAATTTATATCACATTTTCATCTTAATTATTGTCTGAAATGAATGAACGAATGAACAAGCAAGAAGTGATTCAATGTCTAAAGAATGGTCAGTTAAGATGAGTGAATGGATAAGACTAACTTTTAAAATCTTATTTTAGGATTGGGCAAATGGTATTCTAAAATATTGAATTTCTCGATTAAAATTTCTTGTGGATCTAAAATCGATAATGCAAAGTTTGATAAATGTAAAGTTATCATACCTTCCTTTTTCTTTTGTCTTCATATCTTTATATTTAATTCTTATCATTCTTGTTAAAAATATCTCACCGATGATAATGATAAGACAAGAATGACACAATTAACAGAGAAAAACTTTACTCTAAATTGACTAATGAATCATGTGATAAATACAAAAGTTAAAGTTAGTAATAAAATAGATAATCAAAGCCTTGAACTTTAGTAAATTTGAAAAATTTTTCTCTTTATTCGTATGCCATAATTAAAAGCTCCGATTATCTATGCTTCTATTTTTAGACATTGTAAAAAAAAGCGAAAGGAATATTTGCTAAACTAGCAATTATATCTTTCGGTACTCAAATATTTGATTAATTTAAAATAAGTATTACCAATATCGATCAATGAGTGACAGTGTGACATTGCAAAAGCATTAGATGGGTATTAAGCCTCACTTTAGCTAATTAATATTTTAATGAAAACTTGTAAATTTCACTCAGCTACTCAAAGTTGTTATTTTCATGTAAAGGAGAACATGTAAGCCATATAAGTTAGATTAAAAAAACGTGTAAATCATATAAGTTAGAAAAAAACGCACAAAACTACGTGTACGCATATAGTTCGAAATGTTTCTACGTAACGTAAAAGCTATATATTCGTACCAAGTATGTAGTGAAATTTATAATTTTAGTGATAAAGAGGAAATGCGTGAAGTAGATTATAATTTTATATCTTATGATAAGAGATAAGAAAGGAGTGAAATTATTTTATATACGTGAAAATTCATTCTAATTTTATATACTATTATTTGTTATTTTGATATTTAATGCTTACTGTACGATTAAATCAATTTAACTGTGTCATTAAAATAAGCAAAAACAAAGAAAATTCGCACAAAAGAAATTGGTTTCGTTTTCTCAAATCGATAATTTTGCAGAAGGTTTTCAGTTAAGCTTAAAAGACTCACGTATCCTATCAAAGACTCACGTATCCTATCAAAGACTCACGTATCCTATCAAAGACCCACGCATCCTATCAAAAACTCACGCATCCTATCAAAGACTCACGCATCCTATCAAAAACTCACGCATCCTATCAAAGACTCACGTATCCTATCAAAGACTCACGCATCCTATCAAAGACCCACGTAACCTATCAAAGACTCACGCATCCTATCAAAGACCCACGTAACCTATCAAAGACTCACGCATCCTATCAAAGACCCACGCATCCTATCTTCTCATCCCTTCCCGCCTCTCTCGTCTCCTTTTGTCCCTCTTCACTCCTCTTTCCCACGTCTCATACATCCCTAAAAACCAGGCGATAATAATAAATTGCGATACGTGGTTGACTTACATCTCATTTCTTTATTGCAAACTATTAAATTTCTTTTGAGAAGTGTGTGACACGCGCGCATGTAGACAGACATACATACATATACAGACGAAGACAAGCACGTGAATGCAACATACACAGGCAAAGAGAAGTACGTATGAAGACAAAAAGAGATACGTAACGTACCATATACAGACAAGCATTCACACGTACGGAGAATACACTCATTTATACTACTACGTCTAATATATACTTACATTTCCATTGGATCATCTCATCTCTTGATGTGTTACTAATATTCGCTTAAATTTGCTCCTTCCATCTAGCAATAACTGATATATCACAATCATTTTTATAATTAATTTCCGGAAATTCGTGCACATTCAAATTCAAAAAATATAACTTTGAATAAAAAGAAACAGAAATTTGCGCATTTCCGTTAAAATAGTAAGCAATAACTGATTAAATACCACGAATTTATGTCTCAGAAAGATTGAAATGTGTGAAAGGAAGGAAGGAAGGAAGAATCGAGAAATGAAATGAAATGAAATGAAATGAAATTTCAGTTGTAAATTGCTGAAGCAATGAAAGTAGCAGAAGGATTTCGAAATGAGCAACCATCGTCACATTTTAAAATAAATTTATTTGAGAGATTCGTTAAAGAAATGAATGAATAGCAATGACTCTTCTTCAACTCTAATATTGCTACTGCATTAACTGCAATTGCAGTAACATAATTAATGCCATAAAAAAGGCATTGCTCATCAGGCCTGATGCTTACTAGGCCACAAAAAAGGCATTGCTCATCAGGCCTAATGCTTACTAGGCCACAAAAAAGGAATTGCTCATCAGGCTTAATGCTTACTAGGCCACAAAATTAGTGAACGCATCAATCTTTACGAGCAAAAAAAAAGAAAAAATGCAATGTATGTATGTGCCAGTGTATAAATTATAAATAGCAAAACACATCCTTTTTTCATCCTTTTTTACTTTTTTCCTTTTTAAAAAGTAAATTTATTGGTGCAAAATTTGCAGATGGAAATGATTAAAATTACATGCATGATAACACTAAAAGTAGTGATAATGATAACTATGATGAATGATAACAGAAGTTTGATAGCTCTTCAATAGTAATTCAAAATTCAAATCCAAACGATTAATTAATTTATAGCTGATTGATTATTAGTACATATGAAAAGTAATTATTATTAATTATAATTTTAGATCAATTCTTTTCTTTTTATCATTTATCATTCTACCTTCTGCTACATGCTAATAATTAGCAGAAGGTAGGAGCAATGAAAATTCAGACTAAAGTTGAAAGTCATTGAAAGCTTGTAAGATGATTCCTCTCATCTATTATTTAAATTACTTCCCTTTCAATGGTAACTAAAAAAATCAAAAGAAATTTATTTGACAGAAAAAATTTTTCAAAAAATCTTTTGAAGCATTATTTTAATTTCAAACTTTTATGCATAAACTAAACTTATCAAATTATTTTTTTACTTCACTTTTTTCTCAATTTTAACTCAATATATGAGGTAGTAAGGATAAGCGAATTCAAATCATTTATTCAATAAACTGAAGTACTGAGTTAAAAGGTTCATGAAAATTTGGAACGAAATTCGAACTTACTATTTATTAATTTCAGTGAATGAATTATTGTTTGCAAAAGGGATGAAAAGATTCAATGTGACTAGTAGTAATTGATAATGTGTGATATAAAGTGATGCAAGAATTCAAGATTTTATTGATAAGTTGAAAATGCTAAGTAGTGATTATGATAAGTTCATTTTCTAGTGAATACTAAATGAAAAGTATAATAAATGATAGAAATAAAGATGAAACTTTTTTTTAAAAAAAAATTTAAAAGAGCGAAATGAACAAGAAGGAAAGCATGTATGTACACATTTCAATCATTTTTTTTTTTAGAATTAAGTAAATATTCAAACGTATTTGTTAGGTATAATCGTCTTATCATCCTTTTTAACAAATGAAATTTAAAATTATTTGGCCGTGAAATGAAATTTCAATTCAAAAACGAAGCAAATTTTATTTTACCGAAAAATGTAATATTGAAATGAAATCAGAATATTAGCAGTGCTGTAGAGCGTTTTATTTCTTCGATAAAATAAAATTAAATATTATAATAATAAATGTAAATAAATTAGTTTCAGTAAAATGCTATAATAATAATAAAGATATAACGATACGATGATAGCAAAGTATAAAGAGAAGAATAGTAATCTAATTTAAGCTTTTTTCTGGGATAAAATGAAGGAGAGAGAGAGAGAGAGAGAAATGTTTGAGGAAAAGAAAGAGCAATGATAGTATTTGTTAAATTTGAATTACTGATAGAGCATTTTGAAATTAAAATAAGCCTTATCGGGTAATTATTTTCCTTTTTAGTAAATATAGGTACAAATAATAAATTGGTGCCTCATTAGATGAGTTTGCTGTTAATGATTTTTGTTCCTTTCTATTTGCTTTTTTTCCAACATAATAAATAATTTAATGTATGTTTTAATCACTAATATATGTTAAATATTATAATTATTATTTATAGTATATGTATAAATAAATCATTTAGATAGTAAATGGACAGAAATAAATAAACAGCTTGATATATTTTCTCATTTGTCGATATGAAGAGACTTTCAAATTTAATTTAATTTGGAAATAATGATTTAAATACTCTTTCTTTTTTACATTTAAACGAAATAATGTTAAATATTTTTACTTAATTATCAGATTATTTAACTGCCTAAAATTAGAAATTCATTTTAATAGTTTAAATTTAAAATAGTAGCAAGTAGTAGCATTCGTTTTTCAGTGACATGTTTTATTGAATTTCGTTGAATTTTAATTTCCTATAGTAAATATAAATTTCATTTAATCTCAAAACGACTTGGCCAGTACAATAAATGAGTCTAGACTGAATAACATGAATAGCAATAATTTGTTGATTGAACTTTTCTCAGAAGATTATACTTAGCTATTATTTTTTATGTGTCAACATGCATAATTATATATGGCGCAAAAATGCATTAGGCACTTTTTGGTTTAGCTACAGAAATTCTTGAAGACAAATTCAAAATTGTGTTAAATTGTTTTAACTGATTTAACTTTCAAACTCTTTTAATTTTTTCTTGTCGCCCATAAACAAATTTTGTGAACTTTAACTTTGTGATGTATAACAAAAAGTAATCGAAAAGTAAAAATTCTGTGTCAACGTTAATTTATTAAATAATCGAAATTAAATGATGAATAAATAATATAAGACAGACTGTACATGCAATAAAGAATGTAATCAAGTACAAATCCCAAATGGTTTCAATTTAACAATTTAATTTTACTCACTTTATCAATTCCATTTCCAATATTCGAATACTTCATTGACCCTCAAATTGAACAAAAAAAAAAGCAATCAATAATTTATAATAATTGAAAATAGGGGAAAAAAAAAGGCAAAATGAGACGAAATATTTATGATTAATGTGCGACGAATGACTGAATAAATAAATGAAGAGATTAAGCGGCGATACATTCAACATTTGTATATTTCATTACTCACATAGGAAATTTCTATTTCTAGCACTAAATTTCATCTGTGATTAACCTCAATCTCTGGATAAGAGGGTATAAATGAAAATGGAATAGTTAAAAGGTGACTAATACTTGGATTAATATATGTTAGTTAGATGAGTTCAACCTATGAGATAAAAATGTGATAACAAATGATCAAAGGGATATTTATATTCTCTGATGATACGGGTGAGATAATCATCTAAACGGATCTAAACTATCTATTCTGATTATAAATTTTAACATACCATGATCTAACTTATCATCTATTCGATTATATTCTCCTTTCAACATTTTACATTAGAAAATATTTCTTAAAACTCTTTATAGTTATCATCAATTGATTGATTACATGATGCAGTATAATTGTAAAAATTATGTAATAAAACTTAAATATGATATTTACATATCTCTGATATTTATACAAAGAAAAACGCAATAATAAAAGATGATACTATTTATAAACAATCAGTGGCGAATTTTATAACAATCAAACAATAAAACTAAAGTTTGGAAAACATAAAAATCAAAAATAAAATTGAAAATTATGGAAAGGAAAAAAATTTTCTATGGAGCAAAAAATATTCAATAAATAAACATTTTTAAACATTTCGATTGTAATTATACATGCAAACAATGTATTTTATGACCAGTAGTGAATGAATAAAAGTTTGAAACTAAAAAAAAAAAAAAAAAAAAAAAAGGAAAAAAGGAAAAATTAGAACTGAAAAGAAAATATGAGTGAAAATTTGAACTGAAAAACAAATTTAGAACTAAAAAGAAGAATTTGAGCTGAAAAGAAAAATTTGAATTGAAAGGATGGTATGAATAGAAATTTAAATTGAAAAGAAGAAAATGTTGAAATATGAAAAAAAAAAAAAAAAAAAAAAAACTTTGATGTTTCATTTGTATTTTTTCAAAACATACATCGAATGATTTATGTATCATTGCATCTGATATTGTTCTGTTCTATGATCAATAACAGCTGAGGTATTTTTGATTCTTTTTTGGTTTATTTTAGTTTCCGGATAATCAATTAAAAATGATTCTTTCTCATCTTTGCATATATTTCAATTAGGACAATAATGTGCTCATTCAATAATGATTTTATTCATTAATTTAATTAATTAATTAATTAATTTAATTTATTCATTCATTGTGATCACTATCAGATTATCATTTTAGCATAACTATTACCTAATTACTGCATTATTTGAAATTCAACAAATTGTAAATCAATTTTTTCTTGCATATATGTGTTATAAAATATATGCGAATTCTTTTTTTTTTTTTTTTTTTTGGATAGGTTTGACAATAGCGCCGTACTTTTACTTTTAACTTTTAACTTTAACTGAAGCATTCTAAATTCAATTATGCTTTTCTTATTTACAGGAAAAATAATAAGGATGTTGATGATTGATGTAAACATCATTAATTAATTCCGAGTTAATTAATTCAGTATTAGTTAATTCATTGATAACCATTTGAAATGCTTAACATTAAATCAATATGTAATATTTTCTTTTCATTTGATTAAAATTTTCTGGAATGCATCCTGCTATTCCTGTAACTGCTAAAATTGGTATGATGAGTAGGCAGTAGTAATTTTCCGGAACAAATGCCGGAAGAAGATAACATTATTTTATAACCATCCCAAATTCCAAATAAGGACGATATGAGGATTTCTTCCATCTGGGATTTAAGTTTTCATGAGCTTCCTCCTAACGCTGAAACTCAGCTATTCAAGGTCGTTGTGATTTTAAAAGTTTTAAATTTTGTTTTAAATTGTTGTGTGGGCGTTATTTCCGTTATGTTTCCGGTCGAGTAGTTTTCAGGTTGAGTGGTGCTTCTTGTACATTCCAGGTCAACTGGCTGTCCAAATGACAGGACAAAGAAAGCAATTTGGTACACGTTATTTGAGCGATGAATCGGAAGTATTCAGACATAATGCATGGGATAATGTTGAATGGAAACTGGAACAGGAAGAAGAAGCACGTAATAAGATAGCTCTTCAGAAGGAATCACCTGTTGCTTCTCAGGAAATTGAATATTTGCTGCAAAATCCTGCTGAACAATGGGACACATTCTACCGGACACACAGGAGCAAGTTTTTTATGGATCGAAATTGGCTGCTAACCGAGTTTCCAGAATTGAATGTCGAATGCCGAGTAAGTTAACATTTTAGATTTATATTAGTTATTGCATAATTTATTGATGTTTGATTAAGCATATTAATTGTAGCTGAATAATTTTACTTATAATCTAACCGATTATGTTATGGATGAAAGAGTACATTGCAAACGTATATAAAATAAAAGGAAAACGGACAGGTATTTTAAATAACGTTTTTTCCTTTTCTGAATAAAGTTTGATAATATAACAATGAAATATTAAAAAATGGTCTCATGTTGCTAACTTCATTGAAAAAGTGGAAGATAATGCTAAGAGTGCCGTTTTTACTTTTCAAGGTTTATCCTTCAGTCATTCAAAGAATCTATTTGTTGTTTGTTATTGCAGAAATTGGATGATCCACTTCATGTTTTGGATGTTGGATGTGGTGTCGGTAATGCCACAATACCTTTGCTACAAGCATCTGAACGATCTAGAAAAATGTTTGTTTACGCTTGCGATTATTCACAACAGGCAGTGGATATTCTGAAGCAGGATACGGTGCAGTGGTCTGATAGGTGTAAACCGTTTGTATGGGATATTACAGGACAAGTAACGGAAGTCATACCTGTGGGATCCCTTGACATACTCCTTTGTATTTATGTACTTTCGGCACTCCCACCAGAAAAGCAGAAGCAGGCAGTTGACAACTTAGCCAGGTGAGCTGTTATGTCACAAGATCGTTCCATCACTTTCTATCTTCTTTTGCAGTGCTTTAAACAGAAAAACACTTTTTTTTTCTGATTTATATAGCATGTATTGTTCGCATTTAAAAATTATGCTTTCCAAATTTTTACTGGTTTGTTTCTCTTATTATGAAAGGGATAATATCCGTTTTTTTCATACCTAATTGTCTTATTTTATATAAAATATTGAATAGTAAACTCAACTATAGGTACAAGAAAAGTTTTTAAAATCCTTTACATCACGTAGGATGTAGTGAAGTTGTTTTCAGTTTGCTGAAGCCAGGTGGTATATTACTTTTGAAAGATTACGCACAGCTTGATATGACGCAACTGAGGTTCAAGAAGAATCGTTTGATAGATGAGAATTTTTATCGTCGTGGTGATGGAACTTTGGTTTATTTTTTCACTCAGGATGAGCTGGACAGGTTATTCACTGAAGTTGGCTTACAAAAAGAAATTAATGTTTTGGATAGACGATTGATAGTAAATAGAGCTAAACGAGTAAAAATGTACCGCATGTGGGTGCAATGTAAATATGTGAAAAGTACTTTGTTATGACTTGATTTGTTTGATAAATAAAATATATACACGTCATTCATTTGCAACATTAGTTTGCTTCAGGTATAGAAGTTTTGTAAGATATAGTGTTGTTAAGGATGATTCAATGCATTACTTTCCGGACATGGTCACAATGACCGATTAAATGTTTGAAGGGAATTGCATTACTGAGGTAATGGTTAATTAAAGAAAGGAATTTTCTTACAAGCTAAACAATTTCGTTGTATGTTTCATATTCCTTTACTGTTTATTGATGTTTTCTCTTTCAAAATAAAAAATATCGTCGAAATAATGAGCTTTCTGTCTGCCGTTCCGCTTTGCAACATATATGTGAATAACCGGTGCAGTTATATCTGTTGATTGACCCATTTTACCAGCTCTTCTTAGTGATGGATCACATCAAATCACATCTTCCAATGTCGTAAACTGAGAGAGAAAGAAGGAAACAATTAGGATGGTGGGTGGAAGGGTAAAAAGGATACATAATGCAAAATTAAAGATTTGGTGGAATAAAGTAGTGGTTGAAGTATACATGATGAGATATTTGTTTGTTTGAAGAAAGCTATAAAGGGATTGTAGTACTATCCGATTAGTGCCAAATATCCCAATATGAATTCTGATCAGTGAATTAAGCAAAATGGTGATAACACAATAAATGCTTGATTTCTCGAGATATCATATCAAAAGGGATATACTTCATATATATATATATATATATATATTTAATAATTTGACACAGCTCAAGATTTGATACCAATGTTTTAAGGTTTGGTTGCAAGCAAACGAACTGCTATTATACGCAGGAGGTTGCATACGGAAGAAAAGTCATCCAAAAAGCCGAAAGTTGTCAGTCAATATATTAGATTTAATGATGTTAAATGAGAGCAAACAACCAGTACAAAATTGTATTTTCTTGCGATCAGGATGAGATTCGAACTCACGCGGGGAGACCCCAATGGATTAGCAGTCCATCGCCTTAACCACTCGGCCACCTGATCAACACATCTCATTCGAAATTAAATTTTAGGAAAAGCATTTGCTGGGATGACAGTATGTGTTTGATTTGAGTATGCTCTCGTAGTGATTAGCTTGACTTGTCAACATAATACTGTCTGATTTGATGACAGTTTTTATTGGAATTCAAGTATATTGTTGGTTTATATAAAATAAGTCTCGAAGACAAGAATCTTCTTTCAATATTATCTATATTTATTCAAGAATTTGCTTCATTTTAACCTATTTGTTTACTTTTCTTTTTTTTTTTGATCTCTTATATCTTTTCAGAATGTAATTCTTCATTTTTGCCATTGTTAACTTGCTGATAATAATCATTGATAAGAGTTGAAAAGTTCTTGTAAAATTTAGTTATTACATTAACCGAATGATAATGTAAATATTTCAATCTTCTTTGTACTTCAGTTTATCAATTTTCACTGAAAAAAAAAAAAAAAAAAAAGTCAAGTTAAAAATCTAATATGAAATAAATTTAGAGCGCTTTTCTTTTTCTTTCTCAATGTATCAAAGAATAGACAAATCGATAAAATTTATTGTTATTGTTTTTGAAATTTGTTTGTTTTCTCAAGGAAACTATTTACATATTACATTCTTCATTTCATTTCATCGCTAACATTGATGAACTAATGTATTTATTACAATTTTAAAAGAGAATTTTTCTAGGATATTTCACAAATAACAACAATCATTTAAATTTAATTAAATTTTGATTTTTTTTTTTCTTTTTTTGATTTAAATGATACGCATAACTTAATTAATGGCTTTGTTTGCCCACCATTATCTGATTTCATTGCAACAGTGATCATTTATCATTTTCCTGAATGATATTTCTTCCTGTCACATCAAAAAGTGTTTCATATTATTGTACAATCAATCAGTGAAATATATTTTCCTGAAATGAATTATCTGTATACTTTTATTAGACTATTATTCTATTGCTTAATTTTCCTACCAGATTTAGCCAATTTCCTGAAAGCAATTGGTATATCTTCTTGATATGTTTCAGGTTCCTGAAGTTTTATTCCTGAAAAATGCGGCAGCAGACCGAATTTCATGGCAAAAATTACAAATGCAAAACTTTGAAAGAACAAAATTTATTACGAATTATGATTACAAATTATCTGTAAAACTTGAAATGGATACTTTATGCTCATTTGTTTCATATCTGTTTATTCCATCATACTATTATGCAATTTTAAAAGAATACTCAAATTTTAAATTTAAAGTATCGAAATTCAGTAAAGCCTATGTTATATAACATTTGTAGTATATTTATAAAATATCTCGAACGAACATAAAAAAGTTGTACAGCAAATTTTTTTGCGAAATTCTCGAGAATAATTCTTAGTGAAATTTATGAAATGACTAAATTTTCTTTTCTTTTTTTTGTGAGCAGTCATCAGACTTTTATTTGCTGATTCTCTTTGAAAATAGATTTAAAGAAAAAAAAAAGAACTTAGAAATATCCATCAGTAGTTTGAAGAGAAATGTTTTTTATTGAAAAGTTGACAAATATTCCAGGAAAGAATTAATATTAAACATTATCCCAATATATTAATGCCTTTCCTGGAATGTTTGTCAAATGATCATCAAATGGGTTGTTTATTTGTTCATTTAATAATCTGGTTTAATCATTCACTGTCAAATTATTTGATCATTTAATTTTTAATGAATATTTTTGATTTTGTAGTTCAATTTTATTATTTCTAATTTAATAAAATATTAACCAGTTCTGAATTTTATTTATGCTATCGCTGGTTTAAAATTCTTATGATATATCTTCATTCTGAATAAACCGAAGTGATACTTGACTTGAATAAATATCTAATCGATAATTAACTGAACAAATCAGTTTGAATTTGATCTAATATGACATAATGATTTAATCTGATGAATACTTTAGCTTTGAAAATATGCTAACATAATTATTAAGAAAATATAGTTCATTTATTGTTTAACCTAATAAGCTTATCCTATAAAAAGTCCTAATTAATCTGAGAAATTAATCTGATAAATTACATCTTTCTCCTATAATTCCACGGGAATTCAAATACTTTGCTAACTCTGAATATCATTGTGACATAAATATGTATTCAATTTCCAAAGCAATTGATAACGAAATTTTTATCGCATCTATCTGTCAGCACAACAATTTCAAAACTTCTTCCGTTTTACAAGAATAATGGCACACAAATTAAGTAATTTTACTATTGCACAACTCGCGCTTGAACATTTAGTTTTGTAAATTTACAAAACTGCAAAATTAAATAATGATTAATCATATCAGTGTATGACACACAACACGCAATTGACGTATAAATATAACTAAACTTCACTAATTCAAAAAAATCTATCTGAGTTCGAATAAAAAGCTCAAGAAGTATAGATATATATATAGAGAGAGAGGGAAAGCTTTTAAAGAAACTAGAAACATTTTGCAAAATGAAATGAAAGAATAACGAAATAAATGAGATCACAGGAAGCAAAAATTCCGGAAAATGAAAAACATGAATTGTCAGTACAACAATTTGTAAGTTGAAATGCTTTTGTTTTACAAAAGTAATAAAGTTTTCGATTTGGGAAAGAGTTAAAAATTAATGAATCTAAAAGACTTTTGTCATTCATAGTTCCAAAAAATGTTCCAAAGTGTAAACAATAGAAAGTAAACTAAATGAAAATAAAGATTTAATCTCAGAAGTATTACTTACAGAAAATTATATTATTCTAAAATTTCTTATTAATGAAGATCAATCAATCATTGACTTAAGCAAGAAGAGAATAATAATTAAAAAAGATTTGTATTGTTAAAAGTAACTTACATTTTGAGAGAAATCTGAACATAGGTTTATTATAGCTTAGCTAAAAGTATTTACTTAATTAAAACTAGAAAAAAAGAATAGAAAATTGAGTAAATTATATTATAAAATAGAAATTAACAGATTAAAGTAGTTAATTTTTCAAAGGCAAATGTTATTCTTAATTCTGAATGTATTTTTTTTTTAATCAAATTGCTTCGAACAATATTAAAATTTAGAATTTCCATTAATTTTATGATTAGTTGAGTGTATTAAGAAGTTTGAAATAAATTTAATTATCGTAAAATGTCAAAGAGTAGCGTTTCTTTTTTCTTTCTAATGAAATTAAATATTCATTGTGTATTAAATGAGAAAGATAATAGATGTGAATTACAGAATATATCGAACTCAGATAGATTAAAATTATTAAATCTGAAATAGAGAGATATAATTAAGAATAGAAGAACTAATAGAATGGAAATAATATATTGAATAAGACGAAAAAAAAAAGAGAGAAATATGTAATAAATGATTACTTAATAATATAAAATACAGTTTGCATAAATATTGCGCGTTTTGTGTTCTTAAAATATATTTGTAAATAAAATATGAGCGAAAAAAAAAAGCAACCAGTTGCAGAAATTAAGTTTGAAAAACATTTACAGTACCAATTTCTCATATCTGAATTCAATCGATAACAATTTACATAAAATATGCTAAGAAATTTTGAAAAATTACAGGTGTTAATTATAAATGGGCACTAATTTTAATTTCAATTTATTTCAGTTAATTTAAAGTGAAACAATTTGCTGTATGTATGAAAATTTCATTTTTTTCATTTCTGCACAATCAAATTTATAGTAACGAAAAAATTTCGAACTTTTTTTTTTTCTTTTTTCATTTTAAAATCTCTAAACTCGTAAATATTATTGGTAAAAAAAAACAAATTAGAATCTTATGATTTAGAATTATTATTATTATTAAAGTAAGTGATAAAAGCAATGAAAAGTATGCAGGCAACAGCTAGTATAGCACTAAACAAGGTGATAAGTAAGATATCATGTGATGTAATACAGATAGTACCATTGGACTGATAATGCAATGGACTAATTGATCGACCGGTCGTAGCTGGCAATAAACGTTTAGCTGATAAATTAGAATCCTGAAAATTAGTATTGCATGTAAGTTAGCAATAGTTACATGAAAAATAAAATTTTAAATTAAAATTTACGATAATTTAATATGTAAAAGATATTTTTCAATTTATCAGATTATTTTAAATCAGATTCTAAACAAACCTCTTCGCTTATATCAATTGCGCTAAAACCAACGCTAACATCTAGCGTGTTATCATAATTAACGGATCGTTTCTTAAGCAATCGAGGAGAAAGCGGAGAAGCTTCTGGTGCTGGTGCAGAAGCAGATTTGACAGCACCGAATCCTTGTGGTTCTGAGCATTGCGGACGTGGACATTCGCTATTTGGTTCTTTGATTGTTATACTAATTTGACATTGGTAATAAAGTTCTGATCGATCAGCATATTTATAAACATGAGCCTCTTGGCCAGCCATTAAATCTGTAAAATTAGTAAATTGTCAATAGAACATTTTATTGAATTTTAATCTTCAATTAAATTGCATTTATTTTTACTTACACTTACTGTTTACCTGTAGGATATTCCAAATTGTTGAGTAAATACTTATCCAGAGCACAACCATCTTCATTCAGGATTTGTACCGTATCACCTTTTCCGTCATCCACAACACAGGAATGTACTAGTGCACAGAATGTATCTGTAGTTTCCGAATCACAAGTCCACTTGTGATACACCTGATCTCCGATCATTGCATATCGAACAGGTGTGCCAGATGGACCACCTTCCAGAATCTTTAAAACATAATTTAAATTGCTCAAGAGAAAATAATCAAATAGGTTTCATTTTTTTCAATATTATCTTCAACAATTGTATTTCCAAAAATTTCAAACCTCATATCTGCACACAGGCATTGGTACCACTTGTGTCTGAAATGCTGTCGTCATTTCGGACACTTCAATCTGTGTGCTAACAGTTTTATCAGCTTCCATATAAAAACATTGTATACGATATGCTCGATCTATTTTAGTAATGAATTTCGGGTGAAATGTAATAACAACTACAGCTGTCACAAAGACACCTCGGGGATTTAAGGACCGTGATCGTTCAACATTACACGAGTCAAGCGGTAATTCAATTCCAGCAACCTGAAAATACAATCGCAATACAGTAAGATACATGTCTAAAGTTAACTTTTTTAAATTTTAATTTAATAAGCTACTTGAAAAAGAACAATGCATCAATTAAACAAAATGAAATTTATTTAATTGAAACATTAGTAGCAATTTGGTATTATCAGTAGAGAAGAAAATTATGAGGTATTTCAAGTACCAGTTATTAAATTAATCATAATTTTTAATCAAAAAAATCTGTACTGTAACTGATATTACTATTGAATTTAGTTAAATAGCCTTGCAAAAAAAAAAAAAAAAAAAAAAAAAGTACTGTAGCTCTTCTTTTAAATAAGGAAGGTAAAACTACTGTGACAATAAAAGAAATAGTGGGAATAACACAAACAATATTGTTGTCCAAATAATGACCTCAATTTCAGTAATAGTAATGATAATGATAATAATGATAACAATGATACTTCTTTCATAAACAAAATTGATGACATACAGTATTATAGAATATATTGAGGAAGAGGAATGGCTAAGGAAATAAATTAAAATTTCTCAAATTATATCATCACTGTACTCTTTCATGAATCTTTCATCAGATTTCTTATGAATTTTTATTAAAATTATTTTGTGATTTCAAAATTCCAATAGTTATAAATTGATAAAGTGAAAATGAATTTGTTAAGGTAATCGTCAAAATTATGATGAAACAAAAATTTTTTGAAATCATAAAATTTCTTAACTTGCAAAAAATTTTATTAAAATTTGTGGGAAAAGAAATGAGCCAAACCTGCCTTCCACTGCTATCTGAACGACATTCTTCGTGGTCGTAAAGTCCTTTCACGTATACGTGACCCTCAAAGTTATTTCTAGTATTGAAATTGACTGTTAGAGTAGCAGCACCACATTCTATTTCTGGCTCACCTTCGACACCATTATCAATTGGAATTGCCAATACGTAATTCAAGTAGAAAAGCAAGGATAGCAAAGAGATTAGTGATAATGGTTTGTGCATGATTGCTTCTTATAATATTATTATTATATCAGTGATAGCAGCTATAACTTTAGCAAGAACCGTTATCAGTAAAAGTATCAGTCGAAAAAAAAAACAACAAAACTAATGAGATATCGTAATGTTTATGCGTGCCAACAGCGCTTGAGTGATATCAAGTTATGCTTTCAGACTGCTAGAAATAGTAATAGTAATAATGATAATGATAATAGTGATAATCAGGATTGCAAACTTTTCGTAAACACAATATCAAATTAAAGAGACAACAAATGATTGTCACGCCTGAAGTTCCTTTTATATAAGCGTTGAGCGTATGTTATACACTATAGTGAGCACTAAAATTTCCCAATTTTCCTTTTTCAATAGATGATAGCAACGGAGGTCATCGTTATCCTGTTTTTCGAAATATGCAGGTGGATGAAGGATGGAAGTTCCGATGTAATCGTTCTTTCCAATCCCTGATAAAAGGCGGAGTTTTAAAGTGGAGAAAGACGGTAAAAAAGATTGCTAGAAAGGAGAAAGAGAGAAAGGAGTTCTTGAACTGGATATATCAAAATCAGGATTCCAAACTTTATCAAATTCTGAGAAAGGAAATTGGAAAAGGTGGGACACTGTCATCATTCCAACAATAATGACAGAAAAATTTTTATCAATTTACAGCGAATAATTTAACGTATTAATTTGTATATTAATTAATATTGAATTATCAATTTAACGATTTTTGGGGAGTAATTTTCTTTCTTTCATATTGCGACTGATTCAAAAGGTCAGATGCTTATTTCAGAAATACATTTGCAAAGAAGGAATATAAGAAAAAAAAAAAGCAAAAAAAGCAAAAATTGTCATTCGATGTCAAATCAAAGGATTTGATTTGACTTTTGCGGGGATTTTGAAGTTTTATAGAAAGGGAAAGTAATTTGGTTGATCACTTCTAGTTTAACTTGAACTATAAACAAAGCATTCGTGTCACTTTCTCTTTTCTAATGCAATTTTATGCTTTTATCTTTTCATTCAATCCTTTGTGACTCTTTTATTCACTCATTTGTATATGTATAAATTCAAATCATAAAAAATATAAAAGTGGAAAATTTCAGTGGTTGAAAATTTAAATTGAAATTCTTCATGGATGAATTCAACAAGGGAGCATTTGATCTGATTTTACTTTTGATAAAACTAGCTTCTTTTTGACATAGACTGTAAGTATATTATTCGAATATTATTTGTTTAGTAAATTTTAAACTTTAGATCATTTTTAAAATAAATCTTTAGACAGTCAGAAAAATGATCAATCAATCTGTATTGTCAATCCAATATAAGATCAATCCAAAAAGTTGTACATTGATTTTCTGACTCATTCTTCATTTATCTGTTTACTTTGATCAGCTAACATTTCAATTTTCCATTTCTTCTCATATTGTATTTGTTCATCTTCATATAATTTCGTTTTTAAATTTTAACTCAAATTTTGACGAAATAATTTATAGAGAAAATAGCAGAGACTAGCTAAATTTAATAATTACTAAGTTTGTTTTAAATCAAAATTTGAAACATTTGAATTACTAATATTGAGATAAAGATAAAATAAATATGATGTATATTTTTTATTTCATACAATCATAAATCATTTCTTTTCTCTGTTTTAATTTAAATTTATTTTATTCATCTTTTCTAACACCATATTCTCATCAGTTAGATATTTCACAGTGTTGCATATTCATTTAAAATTAATCTTTCAAAATTTCTTTTTCTCGCAATTGTGTCATATCAAATGTCATTTCATCATTCTATAAAATTATGAAAGTGATAAAGTGATTCAATATTATGAATAATTCAGGAAAGCGATAATTTATGCAACATTTTAAAAATTGTTCAATTAAAGTTCAAAGGGCAATAATAGACAATGTTAGTGGAGAGGAGATGAGGAGAAGAAATTTTGTTTGAAAAAAAGATGACCTGAAATAATTGTGGTACTAGAATTGTAACGCAGGAACAATGTAATTACTTTTTTGTGAAATTGTAGAAATTTGATTGATAATCTAAAAATTTTTAGAATGATTTTTTTTTTAATTACAATTTGTGTATTTCACTAACAACCTGGTAATGATAATTCAATTTCAGTTTCAAATTCAAAAAAAAAAAAAATTTTAAATAACAGTAAATTAAAATTTAATTTTAAAAAATATAATTCTTTTTCAAAAATTCCAGTAATTTCAATAATTTAATAATCATATTTAGTCGAAATAATCAATCTTTGTAAATAATTATTGCTTTGTTTTTTTTTTTTTTCATTTTTTAAATTTATCAGCAACAATGCTAGGTTATATTTCCTCGAGAATGATTTAGACCGAGAATTTTGTATCAATGCACTATCAAAAAATACATTCTAAAATTATTTCATATATATTTTAAAATTCCTTAATGATTTCTTTGAATTCATTTGTGTATAATTGTTCTGTTAAAATTTTTATCAAATTCTATTTTTTACTTAAATATTTCCCAAACAAAAAAAAAAAAAAAAAAAGGAATTGCTATTCAGCAAATTTACAATTTTAAAAGTGCAAAGAATTGTAATTAAAACAAAAATGGTAAATGGTTTCACCTAAATTGTCATCCATTGTCAACCAGTAAAAAGGTAAAAAATAAAAAGAACCAATAATTTTCATTTTTATTTCTCATTGCTTCGTTTTCATCAATTTGAAAATAAAACACTTTGTTTTTTTTTTTTTTTTTCCTTTCATTAAAATTTATCAAAAAACAATGAACTAAAAAAAAAAAAAAAAAAAAGAAATTTCTGTTTCGAATGTTTCTTGTTTGATTAGTATGTTTTTTTTTTTTTTTTTCTGAACAATGATAACAACAAATTTTAACACTAAAAAAGATTTGATATTTTCGTTTTCGTTTTCGTTTCTTTTTTTTTGTCCGAAAAAAAAGTTTTGTAAAATACTAATTTTAAATTGAAATTAATGGTTGAAAAGAAAATGAAAATTTTGAATTTTTTGTTAAAGTAATACTTCGCTTTTTTTTTTTTTTTTTACTTGACAACAATTTTAGAATTTTTCAAAATTTAATGCATTTTATAATTTTATTTTGTGGCATTTATAATTGAGAATATTTTAAGTAATTTCGGCATTTTTTTTTTTCATTTTATTTAGAATTAGGAAATGAATATGGGATGAATTCTGGCAAATAATTTTAACTTTGCCATTAATCGATCTATCTTTTCGATCTAAACAGAGATGATGAACCTTTGACCTTCCACATTGAGAATATGTGATAATAAAATAAAAAGTAATATAGAAAATTCATTTCAATATATTGCATTTATCAATTTAAGCAAACGAAGTCATAAAATGATAATACATAAATTTAAATATAAAATGAAATTGAATAACTTGAATTAAATATTAGGTAAGTTACCCAAAGGATTATTTCGGATGTGTGATAAGTTAAGTATTTCAACAATGTCTTTATTAATGCGTATTTAAATATAAAATGACGTGTAAAAACAGTTTAAAAATGAATAATACCTTTCTTATTAATTTATTATTTTCGAAAAATAATTTATCCATTGCATCTTTTTATTTAACAAAGAGAAAAGAATAAATTCAAAGTTATAAATTTTTTTTTAGAAAAATTTTGAAGTAAAATTAGGATTCACTTCTTTTTTTTTTTTCCTTCGTCTGATAAGAAATAATGACAATAATAAAACTTTGAATTTTTTAAAAAAAAATAACTCATCCGATTAAAAAAAAAAAAAAGAAGACAAAAGGAAAATTTTCCACAATTGTAGAAATTATAATGAATAAAGATATTGATTACTGATTATTGATTACTGATTATTGATTATTGATAGTAATTGGTGGAATAATTTGGTGATTAAATTGATCAGAATTTGTTTTAATTGGAAATTGCATAGATTATTGGACAATAAAAAAAGATAATCACATAAAACATACAAAACAGAAATGTGATTGGAAATTTTGATAATTTAGAAATTCATTTTGTTTTTTTTTTTCTTTTTTAAATTTTGTCACTCGGAAGAAAATAGAAGAGAAATGAATTAAAAATTTTGATGAGATAAAGTAAAGGCAAAGATATGTACAAAAACAAATAAGCAAATAAGCCATTTTACTGGTACAATTATTATTTTAAAATGGTTGTCATCTCAGATTGAATTACATTTAAGTATGAATTTTTTTCAATAATTTTATTTGCAAAATTATATAATTGAAAGTAAATTTTTTTTTTAATATGTGTAATTCAAAATATTATAGGTTTAAAAAACAAAAAAAAAAAGAAAAATTGAATCATTTAAGAATAATATAAAATGAAGAACATTGGATTTGCTCGAATATTTCGAATTTCAGTCCCAGTTTTTATCTAAAATTCATTGGTAATAAATTTCAGTGTTCTGTTTGAAATCAAATAATTGAAATTCATTTGACACAGCATGATGTAACACAAATCCAACGTATGTCACCGATTGTGATACCGGATTAGACGGTCAGGTATGTTGAGATGTGACCTGTATGTGACCGGTATACAACCGGTATCATGTTAGTTAGTTTTTAACATCAAAAACTTTTGAAATATTATTCTTTGTAAACTTATCTCTCATTCAAGATGTTTTAGTATAATTATTTTACTGAGATTGATGAAAAGTGATTCAACAATGCTGAATGTTTGTTTTAATGAAGCACAAAAACTATGCAATAAATCTTTTTTAGCAAAATTTCTACTAAAAGTTTTAAAAATAATTTTTAAAAGTAATTTTGAAATGAACAGGTAATACTAATATTAATACACAACGAATGCAAAGTAATTAATATTAGACTAATAGCAGTTGAATTAATTATATGAATTTAAAAATCAACAATGTTACATTTAAAGTATACGATACGGTTATACCAAATTAAAACTAAGCATTGATCAATTAATCTTACATTTTAATTTGAATACTTTGACCTTTGACTCTTACTTTGACCTCTGACTCTCAATTTTCT